GTGGGGTCTAGTGGTTGGAGCAGAAGGGGGCTGGGAGCCAGGACTCCTGGGTTCTCTCCCCGGCTCTGGGAGGGCAGTGGGGTGTAGTGGTTAGAGCTGGGGGGGGCTGGGAGCCAGGACTCCTGGGTTCTCTCCCTGGCTCTGGGAGGGCAGTGGGGTCTAGTGGTTGGAGCGGGAGGGGGCTAGGAGCAAGGACTCCTGGGTTCTCTCCCTGGCTCTGGGAGGGGGGGGGGGAGGGGAAGGGGGGGGGTCTAGTGGTTAGAGCAGGAGGGGGCTAGGAGCCAGGACTCTTGGGTTCTCTCCCCAGCTCTGAGAGGGGAGTGGGATCTAGTAGTTAGAGCGGGGGGGGGGCTGGGAGCTGGAACTCCTGGGTTCTCTCCCTGGCTCTGGGAGGGGAGGGGAAGGGAGGGGAGGTCTAGTGGTTAGAGCAGGAGGGGGCTAGGAGCCAGGACTCCTGGGTTCTCTCCCCAGCTCTAGGAGGGGAGTGGGGTCTAGTGGTTGGAGCGGGAGGGGGCTGGGAGCCAGGACTCCTGGGTTCTCTCCCCAGCTCTGGGAGGGGAGTGGGGTCAGGGGGCCGAAGCGTGCAGGGATACGGCTCCAGTGGCCGAGGACGGGGAGCTGACGGGGTGGGGGGTGGGTCTCCCCGCTTCCGTCCCATCACTAACCCACCCCGTCGCCACCCCGCAGCCCCGCGTGACCCCTGAGGGCGAGTTCCTGCCCCTGGACCAGCGGGACGTGGACGTGGGCTTCGACAGCGGCACCGACCGCCTCTTCCTGGTCTCGCCCCTCACCGTGGTGCACCGGATCGACGACACCAGCCCCTTCTACGGGCTGGGGCCGGCCCAGCTGGCCCGGGCCGACTTCGAGCTGGTGGCCATCCTGGAAGGCATGGTGGAGGCCACAGCCATGACCACGCAGTGCCGCACCTCCTACCTGCCCGGCGAGCTGCTCTGGGGCCACTGCTTCGCCCCCGTCCTGGCCCGTTGCCACCGCGGGCGCTACCAGGTCGACTTCCACCACTTCCACCGCACCTACCCGGTGCCCGGCACCCCCCGCTGCAGCGCCCGGGAGCTGGGGCAGCAGAGCCCCGGCCCCGGCCCCCGCCGGCGCCCCCGCGCCTCCTTCTGCTACGTCAACGAGCTGGCCCTGCGCGAGCAGCAGCTGGAGGAGGAGGAGGAGGAGGATGGGGCCAGGGGCGGCCACGGGGCCACGGAGACGTGATGGGACGGCCCCTGCGGGGAAGGGGGCTCGTAGGGCGCCGCTCCGTGGGGCTGGATGGAGAGGGGTTGGGGGTCAGTTCCTGGGGGGGAGGCGAGGTTGGGGGAGTCAGTTTCTGGGTGTTGGAAGGGCTGGGGGGCAGTTCCCTTGGGGGTTGGGGGTTGGCTCCTGGGTGCTATTGGGGGTCAGTTCTTGGTGGGGGGCTGGGAGGCAGTTCCTGGGGGGCTGGGTGTCAGGGGGGTTCAGTTCTTGGGGGGCTGGGGAGGCAGTTCCCGGGGTTGGTTGTTGGGGGGTCCATTCCTAGGGGGCTGGGTGTTGGGGGGCAGTTTCTCGGGGCTGGGTTTTGGGAAGGTCCTGGGGGCCTGGTTGTTGGGCGGGAGGTTGTTCCTGGCGAGCTGGCTTTTGGGGGAGTCAGTTCCTTGGGGTGTGGGAGGGGTCAGTTCCCGGGTGGTGTTTGTTGGGGGGGGGTCCGTTCCTGGGGGGCTGGAGGGGCAGACGTTGGGGGCTAGTTGTTGGGGCTGGGATGGAAGGAGCAGCCCCAGCTTGACTGGGCAGATCCTGACTCCGCCTGTCTGTCCGTCCACCTGTCTGTCCCCCCACATGGCCCCAAAGCGACAACTGGTGACACAGAAATAAAGAGGATTTGGAGAGGGAAATTGGCTCCGTCTGATTATTGGGTGGTGAACGGGGTTTGGTGGGTGTCACTGCCCCCCCCGGACCCTCCCCACCCCATCAGCTAATGCTGCCCCCCGGGGACCCCTCCATCCCATCAGCCAATGTTACCCCCCAGGGACTCCCCAAACCCTGTCATCCAACGCTGCCCCCCTGCATTCCCCTGTCAGCCAACGCTGCCCCCACAGGGTCCCTCCCACACCATCAGCCAACGCTGCCCCCCCGGAAGCCCCACCCCAGGGACCCCCCTCTCCCCAGCCCTGCAGCGGGCGGGCGGGGGCTGTTCAGGTGGTTCCTGGCCAGGACTCAGATGCCCAAAATAACCAGCAGCAGAACCCATTTACTAGAAATAGAGATTCCCGGCGGGAGGGGGGGCGGGTGATGGAAAGTTTGGAGAGAGTTGAGGAATGGAGGAGGGATGACAGACAGGATGGAGGGGGGATGGAGAGATGATAGAAGGAGGAATGATAGAGGGATGGACGGAGGGATGATAGAGGGATGATAAAGGGAGGGAGGGAGGAATGATAGAGGGATAATGGACAGAGGGATGGAGGGATGATGGAGGGATGACAGAGGGATGGAGGGATGATGGATGGAGAGAGGTTTGATAGAGGGATGGAGGGAGGGACGCAGGGATGATGGAGGGAGGGAGGGATGATGGAGAGAGGGAGAGAGGGAAGGAGGGATGATGGAGGGATGCAGGGAGGGCTGATGGAGGGTTTCAGGGAAGCTGGAGGAGGTCTGGGAGCTCAGCTAAAGCTGACAGAGTTTCAATCACTAATCCCGGCCCCCGAGCCGGGGAGAGTGCGCCCTATTAACACCGCCCAGCCTGGCTCCTTCCACCCCCCCCCCCCGCCGTCCCCCCAGCCCGGGCCAATCCCCCTCCCCCAGCCCGGGCTATCCATGGGGCAGGGTGTGGGGACCTCGGTGCTCAGCACCCACTCCAGCCCCTGCCCGGCGCCGCCGCGGGCATCTCTCTCACACCTTGTCCGGGCGATAAGGGGCAGGCCCAAAATAACCCCTCGAGTGCCCCTAATCTTGGGTCATGGGATGGGGGGAGGGGCGGCGCTGTCTGATAGGGCCCACCCCGCAACAAGGGGTGACCCCGGGGAAAGGGACCCGGTCCAAATCCAGCCCTCCCCCCTCCTGAGCCTGAGGGCAGGAGATCAGAGATGGGGATTAGTGTGTGTGTGTGGGGGGGACACGGCCAGCTGTTCCCCCAGCCCCCCCCAGTCCCAGCTGCTAATTCCATCCCTGGGCATCCAGCCTGGTCCTTCCCTCGTCATCAGGGACACGGGGCTTGGCAGGGCGATGGGGGCACAGGCTGCCAGCCAGATGCTGCCAGCTGCCCCTGCCAGTGCCCTTCACTCCCGACCCACAGCCCCCCGCTAGGCCCCCCCAGCTCTGCCGGTGCCCCTCATTCCCACCCACAGCCCCCCTCTAGGCCAGCCCTTCCCCACCCCAAAGCTCTGCCAGTGGTCCTCCCCGCCCCCCACCCCAGCCCCGAGTCATTTCAGACCCCTGGGAGCTCTGCCTCCCCCCACAAAATAGCCATTTCTCAGAATAGCCCAGGGACAGGCAGCTGCAGCTGGGGGGGTTCACCCCCATTTTCCCAAAGCCCAGGGGGTAGACGGGGCCCCTGGATCTAAGCTAGGTTCCCGGCTGGTCCCCTTGGAGCCCGCAGAGACCCCCGCAAGTGAGATCAGATCGCCCCCTGGTGGCCTCACGGGCACATGGCAGGGCTGTCTATGGGACTGTCCATGGGGGTGTCTATGGGGCAGACGGGGTGGAGAAGGGAGGAGGGGGTGGTTATGGGGCTGGCTATGGGGAAGAGGGGGTGGCTATGGGGTGGAGGAGGGAGACTGTGGCTATGGGGGTTTCTATGGGACAGAGAGGGTGGAGGAGGGAGGGGGTGATGGGGAGGGGTGGCTATGGGGCAGAGGAGGGAGGGGGTGTTATTGGGGGTGTGTCTATGGGTCAGAGGAGGGGGTGTCCATGGGGGTGTCTATGGGGTGGAGGATGGAGGAGGGGGTGGCTATGGGGGTGGCTATGGGGGAGGGGATGTCACTGGGGTTTCACTGGGGTGTCTATGGGGCGGGGGGGCAGCTATGGGAGTGTCACTGGGGGTGTCTATGGGGCAGAGGGGGAGGCTATGGGGGTTTCATGGGGTGTCTATGGGGGGGGGGGGGGTTTGGGGGTGTCACTGGGGGGTGTCTATGGGGCAGAGGGGGGGGATGGGGGGTCACTGGGGGTGTCTATGGGGCAGAGGGGCGGCTACGGGGGTGTCACTGGGGGTGTCTGTGGGGGAGGGGGTGTCACTGGGGGTGTCACTGGGGGTTTCTATGGGGCAGAGGGGGGGCTATGGGGGTGTCACTGGGGGTGTCTATGGGGCAGAGGGGGGTTATGGGGTGTCACTGGGGGGGTCTGTCTCTGTCCGTGTAGCCGGGGGGGCCGGGCCCGGGGGGGCACAGGGGGACACCGGGTTGCCCTGGTGACGGGGTCCCTGGATGGTCGGGGGGGCAGGGCTCATGCCACCTGTACGCTGAATATTAATAAGGGATCATTAATATTCACGATACACTGATTAATTATTCATAAAGATAGGCCCTTAGCAACGGCCAAGGCCCCAGTAGGCCCTTAGTAACAGATTGTTCTCTTTCAAATCTGTCATCTGGACACTGTTAGGGGCGGAGGCCAGGGAATGGCTGATTCGATCTTCTGTTGGCTGGCTTGTCTGTCATTTATAGTGATTGACAGCCAAAGTGAGTGAATTATGACTATTCGGACTCCCATTGGCTGCTTGAGCTGTCGATCTAACCAAGGGGGTGAGCCTGTTGGATCTTAGGCATTGATTGGCCGGTCTGAATGTCAATAACTAATAGGGCAGGCTGTTGAACTCGTTGCGGGGTCTCATTGGTCGATCTACATCTCAATCTCAGAAGTGGGGCGGAGTTTAACCAAACCTCTGGAGTCCATTGGTTGTTCTATCTATCATTCTTACAAGCTGACGGGTTCAGACGGGAGTTGCCGCCTCCCATTGGTTGTCCCCAGCGGGCAGGGGTCGGGTTTCTTGGCATTCCGCTCCCCCATTGGTTGGTTCTGGGGAAGGAGGCGGGACGTTCTCCTCAGTGCCGGGCCGGGCGGCTGCGGGAGGAGGAAGCAGCCGCCGCCGCGGCAGGAGAGACGGGACGAGCCGAGGGGCCGGAGCAGCCCCGGCAGCCGGTGCGGGCGCCATGGAGGACGGAGTCTATGGTAGGGGCCTGGGACTGTACCACTCTCGGGGCGGGCCATACTATTCCGGGGACCCGCCCATTCACGGCTGGCTGTTGGGGGGGGCGGGGCTGGGTTAGGCGAACCGAACCATTCCCGCCTTTGTAGGGGTGTTTGGGCTGCACCATTCTCTTGCTGGTGGGGGGGGGGTGGCAGGGCTGTACCATTCCTCCCCTTAATGGGGGGGGGGAAGGGTGGCCTGAACCATTCCCACCCCGAATGGGTAGCTTGCCCCCTTACAGTGTAGGGCTGGACTGTGCCATTCTTTTCCTTATGGGGCGTGAGCTGTACCATTGCTTCCCATAATGGAGAGTGGGAGGGGTTGAGGAGGGGGTTGGGCTCAACCATTCCCTCCTAGAGGGGGAATGAGGAGAGGGTTGGGCTGTGCCATTCCGGAAATGAAGAGGGGGGTTGGGCTGAACCATTCCCGGTGTTTGGGCGATACCATTCTCTTGCTTATGGAGGAGCTGGGTTGTACCAATGCTCATAATGGAGAGTGGGTTCCTTTTTGGGGGGAGGTGGGGAGGAAAGGGTTGGGCTGAACCATTTATTCCCCTATGGGGAGGGTGGTGTCGGACTGAACCATTACCACTTGCTCCCCACCTCCCACCCCTCTCCATTGACTCCCCTGCCCCCCCCCGGCATTGTCCTTCGCCCGCCCCCCCGGATTGTTAGCAGCATTTATGAATTGGAAGCTCCTTGGGGCAGGGGGCTTTGTTCTGTGTTTGTACAACCCCTGGCTGACAGGATCCAACTAATACATACCCCCGTACAGCTCCTGGCGCCGTGGGGCCTGATCCGGGGCTGGAGCTCCCAGGGGCCGACAGGATCCAAATAATACATACCCGTGTACAGCTCCTGGCGCCGTGGGGCCCGGGGCTGGGGCTTGCAGTGGTCCTGCACTGCAAATAAACAATGGGACGGGGCTGGTATCCTGGAAGGCCCTGGGACGTCACATCGGAAGGCAACTAAACCTGAGCTCTCAGCCTCCTGCCACAGCTAAGGCCTGGAACTTGCACAGATTTTGCGCTGGTCTAACCATGTTGGTAAAAATACCGCTCCCTATGGGCCCTGCAGGGGCAGGAAATAGCTGCAGTGCAGGGCACCCTGGCCATGCCCCCCATCTGCCCCCTATGGCAGCTGCGTCTCTGCACTGGGCAGGGGATCCCTGTATAAACAGCCCCTCTGCCCACCTCACCCTGCAGGTGTCACATGAAATTCAAGAAACACTCACATGCATCCCGCTTCCTCCCTCGCTCCTAGAACAGGGGGTTCCTGCCTCAGGCTAACCTCTGGTTTCCATCCCAGTGCCCCCGGACCTGACCCCCGAGGAGCGGCTGGAGCTGGAGAACATCCGGCGGCGGAAACAAGAGCTGCTGGTGGAAATCCAGCGGCTGCGGGATGAGCTGAGCGAGGCCATGAATGAGGTGGAAGGTCTGGAGGCGAATGAGGGCAGGTAATGAATGTGCTGATCCTGAGGAGCTGCGTCCCAGCGCCGGGCGAGGGATCCCCATATACCCAGCCCCCATGTCCCACCCCAGAGGGGTCGCATCTCAGCGTTGGGCCCCTGTATACCAAGCCCCTGCCCCACCATGGACTTGTACGCTGCTGGGGCTATTCCAAGTGCTGAATCCTGTGGTTTTTCTCCATCCAACCTACAGCAAAACCCTTCAGAGGAACCGGAAGATAGGGATGGGCCGCAAGAAATTCAACATGGATCCTAAAAAGGTAAGAGGGGAGGGGGCTGGGAGCTAGGACGCCTGGGTTCTATCCCAGCTCTGGGAGGGGAGTTGGGGCCAGTGGGCAAAGCAGCGGGGGCTGGGAGCCAGGACTCCTGAGCTATATGTCTCGTCCCTTTCCCTCCGTGTGCATCAGTTTCCCCGGTGGAAGGGGAGGTGATGGCTGGGGCGGGGGGCTGGGAGCCAAGGGGTGCGGTCAGGCACCTGACTCCACTCGCTTGGTCCTCGGCACAGGGCATCCAGTTCCTGGTGGAGAATGAGCTGCTGCACAACACGCCGGAGGAGATCGCCCGGTTCCTCTACAAGGGGGAGGGGCTCAACAAGACGGCCATCGGGGACTACCTGGGGGAGAGGTGAGGGGGCGGGACCATCGGGGGCTAGCTGGGGGAGAAGGGAAGGGCTGGGGCCATTGGGGACTAGCCGGGGGGAGATGGGCGGGGGTGGAGCCATTGGGGACTAGCTGTGTTGGGGGGGGGGCATCAGGGACTAGCCGGTGGGGGTGCGGGCCTGTGGGTAGGGGCTGCAGCCATTGGGCTCTGCCAGGGATGGGAGCTCTGGGAGTTCTGTCTCATGGGGAGGGGGACAGACCGGGGTGGGGGGAGGGTATTTCACCTCTGACCCCGGCCCCGCCCCCGCAAGGGAGGACTTTAACATCGCGGTGCTGCACGCCTTCGTCGACCTGCACGAGTTCACTGACCTCAACCTGGTGCAGGCGCTGCGGTGAGCTGGGGTTGGGGGGGGGGATGTGGAGGGGGAAGATGGGAAGGTTTGGGGGCAGAGAGGGATCAGGGGGCTGGGGGAGGGGGATGTGGAGGGGGAGGGTGGGAAGGTTTGGGGGCAGAGAGGGATCGGGGGGCTGGGGGAGGGGGATGTGGAGGGGGAGGGTGGGAAGGTTTGGGGGCAGAGCGGGATCGGGGGGCTGGGGGAGGGGGATGTGGAGGGGGAGGGTGGGAAGGTTTGGGGGCAGAGCGGGATCGGGGAGAGGGGGCTCGGGGGGCAGCTCACCCTCCCCTTTATCCCAGGGGTGGGGAGGCTGGTGCGGGTCCCCTACTTACGTCCCCCCCCCCCCCAGGCAGTTCCTATGGAGCTTCCGCCTGCCCGGGGAGGCCCAGAAGATCGACCGCATGATGGAGGCCTTCGCCCAGCGTTACTGTCTCTGCAACCCCGGCGTCTTCCAGTCCACAGGTACCGCGGGGCCCGGACGCCTGGGTTCTCTCCCCGACCCGGGGAAGGGGGTAGGGCGTAATGGTTAGAGCAGGGGGAGGCTCATAGCCAGGACGCCTGGGTTCTCTCCCCAGCTCAGGGAGGGGAGTGGGGGCTAGTGGTTAGAGCGAGGGGAGGGCTGGGAGCCAGGTCGCCTGGGTTCTCTCCCTGTTCTGGGACGAGGGTGGGGTCTAGTGGGTGCGTTCCTCCTACCGTCCCCCCTTCCTCCCCCAGACACCTGCTACGTGCTCTCCTTCGCCGTCATCATGCTGAACACCAGTCTGCACAATCCCAACGTGCGGGACAAACCCACGGTGGAGAGATTCATCACTATGAACCGGGGCATCAACGACGGGGGCGACCTGCCCGAGGAGCTGCTGCGGGTGAGGGCGGGATACCGGGCGGGGGTCTGATCCGGGGGCGGGATACTGGGGTACATGGGCCCATGGGTCTGGCCTGCTGGTGAGGACGGGGTGTGGCTTGTCTTACTCCACCCCTCAGGAAAAGGGGTATGGGCTCTGACTGTTGTCGTTGGGGGTATGGCCTTATTCTGACTGCACCCCTTGAGTGGGGCGTGGCCTCTTTTGACTCCACCCCCTTCCCCCCCAGAACCTGTACGACAGCATCCGGAATGAGCCGTTCAAGATCCCGGAGGACGATGGGAACGACCTGACCCACACGTTCTTCAATCCAGACCGGGAGGGCTGGCTGCTGAAGCTGGGTGAGAGCAGGGACCCCCCCCCCCCGAACCCCTACACTCCCCGATCCCCACCCCCGCGATCTCTGCATGCCTCTGCGCTCTCCTCTCTCTGTGTCCCACCGACCTCCCGCTGTGTCCTCAAAGCACCGACCTTCCTTCCGCAGCTCCAGGAATAATACCCGCCCCCCAACCTCGCCCAGCCCGGGCTAGGATGCCTGGGTCCGTCCCCCCACCCCGGCCTTGGCTAGGGCTCCTGGATCCATCCCCTCCCAAGCCTCGGCTAGGACTCCTGAGTCCATCCCCGCCGCAGACCCCAGCCTCGGCTAGGGCTCCTGGGTCCGCCTGCTCCCTCCCGGCCTTGGCTCGTGTTCCTGGGTCCGCCCCCCCCATCTCCCCCGGCTAGGGCTCCTGGGTCTGCCCCCTACCCCGGCCTCAGCTAGGGCTCCTGGGTCCCCTCCCCCCACCCCTCCAGCCTTCAGTTGGCCCCTGTCTGTGTCCATCTGTCCCTGCCCCGCTCGCTGGGCCTCCCCTAGGCCACCTGAGTCTGACTCTGCTTCCTTCCCACGGGGCCTTTGAGGGCACCACCCCGCCCCTCAATTCCCCCGCCCAGGCTTGAGTGTTCCGGGGGGGCGCTACACAGCTATAGGGGGAGCCCCCCACCCCCAAGGCATTGGGATCCCAGTTCACAGCACCCCCAGGTTCAAGGCAGGTGCCTCCCAGACTAGCGGGGCCATGAGGGGTCAGGATGGGGGTCACACGGACCCCATGGCAGCTCAGTCAGAAGCACAGGCTGGATTTGGGGGGATTGGGGTCACAGGTGGGTACGGGGGAGGTGTCCAAAGCTGGGTGGGGTTGTTCTGGAGACTGGGAGGGTCGCTGCGGTGGGGGGGTAGGCGGAGGGATCTATGGGGGGTGATGGGGAAGGGAGGTGGGTACAGACCTGGATGGACCTTGGTTGAGGCCTGACCCCCTTGCTGCCTCTAGGGGGCAGCAGAGAGCTATTGGGAGGGGGGTGAGCAGGGATCAGCTCCCAGGAGCCAGGAAGGGGGCTGGGGATCAGGACGCCTGGGTTCCATCATCGCTCTGGGAAGGGAGTGGGGGCTAGTGGTTAGAGCAGGGGGCTGGGAGCCAGGACGTCTGGGTTCCCTCCCATCTCTGGGAGGATAGTGGGGGGCTAGTGGTTAGAGCTGCGGGTTAGAGGTGAGTGCCGGGCTCCAGGACTCCTGGGACCTATTTAATCTTATCCCCAGCCCCCGGGGCAGGGAATGGCCATCCGGGACGATGGGTGCTGTCCCTCGCAGGGAAAAGCTGGACAGAGCCCTCCCACCCCCCCACTCCCTCGCTTTGTGTATCAAACCCCTGTGGCCCCCCACAGCCAGCAAAAAGGACATTCCCTCCCCCCTCCCCGAGATTCCCCCCCTCCGCGCTGATCCCTGCGGCAGGGGTGTTATTTGACCGTGTTTTTTCCTCCTCACATTGATATAACTGATTTTTCCTCTTTCTCTCTCTTCTCTCTTCTCTTCCCCCCGCTCCCCTCTTTCTTTCTCTCCCTCCCCCGTTTTCCTTCCCGCCCCCCACGGCCCCCCCACCCCCACCCCCCCACGCCGCTGATGCCACTTGTGCTCGGGTCTCACCGTTCCTCCCCAGGAGGTAGGTAACGGAGGGGGAAGCCGCTGCTGGAATGGGGGGTGGGGATCCCAGCCCCAAATAGCGCCTCGCCCCGTTAGGGCCGCATCACCACAGTAGAGATTCGCCCCAACGCCTGACCCCCCGGAGTGTTGGAACTGGGTGCGGGGGGGCGGGTCTGGCCCCTTGAGGGCAGGGGGGTTGCCGGAAGCCCCCTGGAATCTCCGCACAGGTTGCAAAGGTCCCGGATGAGGGATTGTCTCAGGGACAGTCGTGCCACACGGGGTCCCCCGAAATGGGACCTGGTGGTTAGAGTGGGGGGGCGGGGGCTGGGAGCCAGGACTCCTGGGTTCTCTCCCCAGCTCTGGGAGGAGAGTTCTGCCAGTGACAACAGTTTCTCAGGCTTCCCTCCGCCCTGCGGGTCACCCGCTTGGAGTCAAGGGGCAGCTGCGTGGGGTCTTATGCCTGAAATTGTCTCCCCCCCCCCCCGCCCATGTGCCCAGGCGAGGGTACTGTGTCTATCCCAGCATGCCCTGGGGCAGGCCTGGTCCTCTTCTCACGCTGCCCCTGGGTGGACCGGCCCAACAGGATCGATAGCTGCCCCCCCAGAAGCCCCCATCACTGAGCCCCCAATCTCTGCTTTTCCTGCAGGCGGGCGCGTGAAAACATGGAAAAGACGCTGGTTCATTCTGACGGACAACTGCCTGTACTATTTCGAGTACACCACGGTGAGCCCCCCAGCCCCCCGGAGCAGCCCCCACGGGGTCCGCCCACAAGGCCCCCCCCCCACCCCCCCTCCTTGGTACCTGGTTTCTGACAATGCCCAGCGCTGCCGGCTTCAGAGGAAGACCCAAGCGCTCCCCTAGTGGTCAGTGATGGAATCGCCTGCCCCTTGCGTGAGCCCCCTGCCCCCAGTCACTATGGGGTTGGGCTGGGCCCCACAGACAGCCCCTGCAGGAACCCAGGGGCTTCTGCCACTCGCCCTTCTGGGCCTGGGGCTCCCTAGCTCTCCCCACTTAGCTCCGTAGCCAGTGGCAGGGAGTCCCGCAGGCCGCTCCTCATCTCCCCTGACTCCAGCTTTGTTCCCCACTCAGGACAAGGAGCCGCGGGGGATCATCCCACTGGAGAACCTGAGCATCCGGGAGGTGGAGGACCCCCGCAAGCCGGTGAGTGCAGCGCCCCCTGCTCCCCCACCCCTCAGGGCCTTCTTGCCCCCGATATTCACCTTGTCTGTCCTTCGTCAGCCTGTCCTTATCCTCTCCTTCATGGCCGCCCTCCTCCTCCTCCTCCTGTCTATCCATCCGCGCGGCCGCCCCCTCCATCCATCCACATCCACCCCTCCATCCATCCGCGCATCTTCCCCATCCCTCCTCCGCTCCATCCATCCACGCCCCCGCCCCCTCCATCCATCCCTCCATCCACGCCCCCGCCCCCTCCATCCATCCACGCCCCCTCCATCCATCCATCCATCCACGCATCTTCCCCCTCCCTCCCTCCATCCACGCACTCGCCCCTCCATCCATCCACACGTCTTCCCCATCCCTCCCTCCCTCGCTCCATCCATCCATCCACACGTCTTCCCCATCCCTCCCTCCCTCGCTCCATCCATCCATCCATCCATCCACACGTCTTCCCCATCCCTCCCTCCCCCCATCGATCTGCGCACCTGACCCCTCCATCCATCCACACCCTTCCCTCCATCCATCCACGCATCTTCCCCATCCCTCCCTCCTCGCTCCATCCATCCACGCTCCCTCCATCCATTCATACACCCCCCGTCCATCCTACGCCCCTTCCCCCCCTCCCTCGCTCCCTCCATCCATGCACGCACCCCCCGCCTCCATCCACATCCCCCTTCTTTCCTCCATCCATTCCTGCAGCTTTTGACCCTTGTAGATCAGGCTCCACCCGCATTGTGCTCTCAACTCCAACCTTTCATTTCAAGCACAAATGACTTGACGTTGCCTGAGTTTGCCGAGAGCCTGAGCCCATCGCTGCGGGCTGGGGGGAATCATCCCTGGGTGTGACCGATGTGGCCTGAGCCCGCTGAGAGCTTGAGCTCATCCCTGGGTGTACTGGGGGAGGCGAATCGTTCCTGGGGTTGGGGGGAGGGGGTGGGGGGGAATCGACGCAACCTGAGCCCGTGGCTGATTCTGTCTCCCCCCGTTCCCCCCAGAACTGCTTTGAGCTGTACATTCCCAACAACAAGGGCCAGCTGATCAAGGCCTGCAAGACGGAGGCCGACGGGCGGGTGGTGGAAGGGAACCACCTGGTCTATCGCATCTCGGCCCCCACGCAGGAGGAGAAGGACGAATGGATCAAATCCATCAAGTGAGGAGCACCCCCACCTGCCCCCACCCCCTCCCAGAGCTGGGGATAGAACCCAGGGGTCCTGGCTCCCAACCCCTTCCCAGGGTATTGTGGGTGGATGGTTCCAGCTTGTGATGGGGGGGGGGGGTGGCGGCAGGTGAAGTCTGATCCATCCCATTTGGTGGCGGGGGGAGACAGGGCATGTGCGGGCAGGGGCGTTCCCGGCAATGGTGGAGGGGCCGTGCGGCCCCCATGGTGTGACTCCCCCAAGCCCAGGGGTCTGTCTCAGCCTCCCCCTCGCAGGCACCTGGCTGCAGCGAGATTCCCTGCCCCCCACTGACCCCCCGCTCCCCACAGGGCTGCCGTCAGCGTGGACCCCTTCTACGAGATGCTGGCCGCCCGCAAGAAGCGCATCTCAGTCAAGAAGAAACAGGAGCAGGCGTGAGCTGGGCTGGCCAGCAGGCTGCCTTTCTGTGCCCCCCCAACCCACCTCCCTGGGCGCCTCTAAAACTGACACCCCCCTGGGCCAGGGGGGGCCCAGCCACGGACAGACAGACGGACAGAGCAGCACTGACTTCCCCTCCCCCAGCATCTGTGTGCACCGCCAGCCGGATCTGTCTTCCCCACCCCCACTCCCCCCAGGGACCCTACTTTGGGATACAGCCCCTCTCCAGGAGCCACTGGGTACCATGGGCCAGCACCCCCTTCCTCGCCCGTGGGGGCTGCAGCCTGGGCCGGGGGCCTCTGCCATGCCCTGGGCTCAGGACCTTGCAGCAGGTTCTGATCAGGAGTGACTCCAGATCCACCCTGAGGGAGCCGAGATCAGAATCCAACCCTGCCCCCATTGCAATTAGGAGGGACTCTGGAATCTGGCCCTGCCCCCACTGCAAACAGGAGTGACTCCGGCTTGGCCCTGACTCCGTATCCTCAGCACTTTCCTTCACGGGTCTCTGGATTTTCACTGGCTGACGCCAAGCTCCTCTCTACACTAATTAGCCCCGAGATGCAATAAGCTCTTGCCTAGCAACCCCTGAGACAGCTGCCCCTTCCCTTCCAGCTGGCTGGGAATTCCCCCCCCATGCTGTGCTCCCACCATGGCGCTCAGCACCAGGGGCTAGCGGGGTCCCATGGTGCACTGGTGCAGCTGCGCTGCTGTCTTTGGGGTCTTCCCCCCCCGCGTATTCCAGCAATGCCAGGCATGGGGTGGGGGGCATTCCTCCCCCCCTCCCCCCACCGGCAATGCCAACGGGCCCTCTGCAGCGCCCCCTGGCAGCCAGCAGGGGGAACTGAAGTTCTTCCCTCCTTGGGGCAGCTAGTGGAGGGGGAGTTTTAGCCCGCCCCGTGGCCTGCCCCTCACCAGCTCATCTTTAAATCTTCCCAACGGGGGGTAGCCCCCCCTACCCCCATGTATACACTATTGGCTCTAGAGCTTGGGGTCCATCTGGAGCCCCTCTATTTCCATGCACCCCCTCTGGGCTCCAGGAACGTACACTACGGACTGGGGGGGGCTGGGGAGCGCCCCCCGAGGTCGAAAGCCCTTTGCTTTCGCCTGCTGTGGAATCCCGTCCTTCTGATTACTCTCCTGCCACGAGCGCGAGGCACCGTCGGAAAGCCTGGCCTGGCGCCGCCGGGAGCAGATGTGGGGCCCCCGCACCAGGACCAATCCCTGGGCCCCCTCCCCACCTTTCTGGCTCAGCCCCCGCAGGGCGTCCTGGGAGGAACCCCCGGATCGTCGGCTCCCAGAGGCAACTGCGTGGCAACAGGACCAAGCCGGCGGGACCCATCTCCTCCCACACCTGGGACCCCCCGGACTTGCTGCCTCCTCCCGGCGCAGGGGGATTTCACCCCACCGCAGGCGCTGGTGTGGACAGAGAGGGGCGGGCGCCAGCCCCGGGCCTGCCATGGGATTCCAGGGCGGGTTCAGGTTTTTGTAATTGTTATTTAAGGATTTAATGGATGCAACTTTCAACGGAATAAAAACACTACAGTCTTGAGTACAGCCAGGGGGCCGCTGGGTGTCTGGGGGGTATCCACTCAGGGCATCAGACATCCAGGGCCAGCATGGGGAAGGGGCACCGAACTGGCCTGGCACCAGCAGCAGCTTAAACCCTGTTTGGGGCTGGGAGCCAGGCCTCCTGGGTTCTATCCTGGCTCTGGGAGGGGAGTGGGGCCTAGTGGCTAGAGCAGGGGGGTGGCGGGGAGCCAGGACTCCTGGGTTCTATTACACTGAGCTGGGGGGCTGGATGATGCAGGTGGCTTCAGGATTTGAGCACCCCGTGGCACCATGAGCTTGGCTGACCTCTGTCCGTCCCCCCTGCCTCCAGCCAGCGGCGGGGGCCGGGTGCTGGGGCGTGGGGCTCTTTAGCCAGGGACCTACGTTCCCTCTAAGCTGCGCGGGCAGCAGACTCTCAAGGGCCTCTCCCCGGCCCTCAGCTGTTGTGGCGAGACAGGGCTGGGGGGAGTCCTCTCTCCTTGGGGCAGCCTGCACCCCAAATCCCTCATCCCTGGCCCCACCACAGAGTCTGCAGTCCCCGCTGGAGCCCTCACACACCCCCAGCCCTGAGGCCCCTCCTACACCCCAAACCCCTCATCTCCGGCCCCACCCCAAATCCTGCACCCCCAACTGGAGCCTTCACGCCCCACCTAACCCCCGGCTCCAGCCTGGAGCCCCCTCCTTCACCTAAACTCGCTCCTGGAGCCTGCACCACTCAGCCCTGAGCTCCCTCCTGCACCCCAACCCCTTCATCCCTGGCCCCACCCCAGAGCCTGCACCCCCCACACACTCCAACCCTCTGCCCCAGCCCTGAGCCTCCCACCATGCTCCAAACCCTTCAGGCCCACCCGTGCCGCATGAGTTTTGTAGTTCATTCTGCAGATTGAGGTAAAAAAGTAGAGGGAACACTGGGGGACCCCTTGCCCGCTGGTGGGATGCGGCCACTTCTGGGGTGGGGCGTGTTGGGTATTTGGCGCACTCAGACAAAGCACTGACTCACAGCGCTGGGGCAGCTGCTGCTCCCTTGGCAGGTTTATTCTGTCCTTTCCGAGGAAGAAAATAGCATCGAATCCTACATAAAACAGCGCCGAGCTACACGACACGGGACACCGCGTATGTACCGCCAGCCCCAGGCCAACAGCCACAGCTGTATACAACAGGAGAGGAAGGGGGTCTCCCAGCCCCCCTGCTCTAACCACTAGACCCCACTCCTCTCCCAGACTTGGGGAAAGAACCCAGGCGTCCTCCCAGCCCCTCACACAACTAGACTCCACTCCCCTCTCTCCCAAAGGCAAGGATAGAACCCAGGAGCCCTGGCTTCCAGCCCCCCGTTCTTCCCCCGCTGTCATCACTAGCCCCCACTCCTCTTCCTGAGCTGAAGAGAACCCAGGCATCCGGGCCTCCAGCCCCCTGTGGGCCAGGGCTCAGTGGCAGGCATTGAAGGGCAGCTTGGCCACCCCCCCGTGCAGCTCCATGGTGCCCTCAGCCCAGGCCACAATGTCCCCGTGGGCGTGGCCGGCGCAGGTGGCCAGCCTGTAGACCTCGCCCGGCGCCAGGACGTGGCTCCACACGTGGAAGTCGGCCAGCTCCCCGATGAAGGCCTGCGTGGCATCGAACCGGCCGCCCAGCGTGTCCTGGGGGGGGGGGGGAGAGCAGAGAGGCCAGGGGTAGACCAGGGAGGGCACAAGCCACCCGACAAGGGGGCTAACCCTGGAGCAGATGCTCTCGCCCTGGGGTGTGTGGGGGGGTCTCTTACCTGCTCCTGCCCCAGGATGAAGATGCCCCCTGGCTTGATGGGGTGCCAGGGGGCCAGGTTCTCGCCGCTGCCCCGTCGCACCCCGTCCTGGTAGCTCTCCCAGACGCCGTCCCGCGTCGACCAGGTCACGCAGATGTGGTGCCACTTGGCGTCGTGGATGGCCAGGGGCAAGGTGGCAGCCTGGGGGTTGGGGCGTGGGGGGGAAAGGGTTAAGGGTAGTGCTCGCCTCTCCCCCACCAACCCCACCCACGATGGGAGCCCCCCCCACCCAGCTCCCTGCAGCTGAGCACTCCCTGCTGAACCCCCTGTCCCGCTCCCTACAGCCCAGCGCCCCCCGCTGAGCCCCCCGCCCCACAGCCCAGTGCTCCCCTGCTGAGCTCCCTGCAGCATCGCATCCTCTGCTGACCATGGCAGTCCCCAGCCCCACACCTTGTCATTGATGAGCAGCTCCATGGGGTTATTGCCCCACTCAATGAGCACCAGCTCGTTGGCCTGGCCAGGCACGGAGTAGGAGAAGGGGGTGCCAACACCAGGCGCCGAGCTGGACTTGAGCCAGAGGCAGACAGTGAAGGCGAAGATCTCGTGATGCAGTGTCCTCTTCACCTTGACGTACATGTAGTTGGTGCGGAGGGGGAAGCCCACACGGAAAACCTCGTCTGGCTTCTCCGCCTTGTGCCCTAGAGGGACAAGGTCAGTGCCGGGGCGGCCAGACACAACCAGCCCCGGGGGAGAGGGGACTCTGGCCAATAGCCAGTCAGCCATCTCCCCATGCACTGCTACATCCATCAAATCATCATTCCTTCCAGCTGTTCCTTCAAGTAGCCAGCCCTCATTTCAGCCATCCATCCATCCATCCATCTATCCAGGTACCATTTCATCCATGCATTCAGTGCTCCATCCATCGATCCATCCCTCATTTCCTCCATCCATCCATCGATCCATCCCTCATTTCCTCCATCCATCCATGTACCATTTAATCCACCCATTCAACGCTCCATCCATCGATCCATCCCTCATTTCCTCCATCCATCCATCCATGTATCATTTCATCCACCCATTCAATGCTCCATCCATCCATCCAGGTACCATTTCCTCCATCCATTCAACGCTCCATCCATCGACCCATCCCTCATTTCCTCCATCCATCCATTGATCCATCCCTCATTTCCTCCTTCCATCCATCCATCCAGGTACCAGTTCATCCATCCATTCAGTGCTCCATCCATCGATCCATCCCTCATTTCCTCCATCCATCCATCCATCCATGTACCATTTCATCCACCCATTCAATGCTCCATCCATCCATCCATCCAGGTACCATTTCCTCCATCCATTCAGTGCTCCATCCATCGATCCATCCCTCATTTCCTCCATCCATCCATCCATCCATGTACCATTTCATCCACCCATTCAATGCTCCATCCATCCATCCATCCAGGTACCATTTCCTCCATCCATTCAACGCTCCATCCATCGACCCATCCCTCATTTCCTCCATCCATCCATTGATCCATCCCTCATTTCCTCCTTCCATCCATCCATCCAGGTACCAGTTCATCCATCCATTCAGTGCTCCATCCATCGATCCATCCCTCATTTCCTCCATCCATCCATCCATCCATGTACCATTTCATCCACCCATTCAATGCTCCATCCATCCATCCATCCAGGTACCATTTCCTCCACCCATTCAACGCTCCATCCATCGATCCATCCCTCATTTCCTCCATCCATCCATCCATGTATCATTTCATCCACCCATTCAATGCTCCATCCATCCATCCAGGTACCATTTCCTCCATCCATTCAACGCTCCATCCATCGACCCATCCCTCATTTCCTCCATCCATCCATTGATCCATCCCTCATTTCCTCCTTCCATCCATCCATCCAGGTACCAGTTCATCCATCCATTCAGTGCTCCATCCATCGATCCATCCCTCATTTCCTCCATCCATCCATCCATCCATGTACCATTTCATCCACCCATTCAATGCTCCATCCATCCATCCATCCATCCAGGTACCATTTCCTCCATCCATTCAACACTCCATCCATAGCTTCACCCATCAGTGATTCCATCCATCCATTCAATTATCAATTCAGCCATCCATAAGTCCATCCATGCAACTATCTCGCTTTGTAGCTACAATTCCACCCATCTGTCTATTCCGTTATCCCCCGTCTATCCCTGCCGCGAGTCCTATTCATCCATCCACAGCTGCAGTCTGGATCCTTTGATGCCCACCACCACCCGCTATCCATCTGTCGATGCCCCTGCAACCCTGCCCCTCACCCTTCTCATGAGGCCCGTGGACCCTGTTCTTGTGCCACCGCAGCTCCTCGTGACCGTGGTGCGGCTCCCCGTGGCCATGGTGCGGCTCCTCGTGGCTGTGGTCATGGTGCTTGGTGGCGTTGAGTTTCTCTTGGATCTGATGCTCCAAAATGCTGATTTTCTTCTGCAGGGCGTCACGCAGGGAGATGGAGAACAGGGAACTGTTGCGGCTGCGCTGGGGGGTGGGGGTGGGGGTGGGAGGAGGGGACTGTGAGCAAGACCCATCATCCTCTCGGTGCCCATCTACCTTGGTATCCCGCCCCGTCCCTGCTACCCTGGATCAGCCCATGGGCTCATCTACCTTGGTATCCCACCCATACCTGCTACCCTGGATCATCCCCGTGGGCCCATCTACCCTGGTATCCCGCCCCATCCCTGCTACTCTGGATCAGCCCCATGGGCCCATCCACCTTGGTATCCCACCCATACCTGCTACTCTGGATCATCCCCATGGGCCCATCTACCCTGGTATCCCGCCCCATCCCTGCTACTCTGGATCAGCCCCATGGGCCCATCTACCCTGGTATCCCGCCCCGTCCCTGCTACCCTGGATTAGCCCCATTGGCCCATCTAGCCCAGCATCCCACCCCCTGCCACCCTCCTGGATCATAGAGTCATAAATCCCAAAGCCAGGAAGGGCCAGTGTGCTCACCTAGTCTGACCTGTATCATACAGGCCAGAGACCTGCCCTGCAATAATTCCTAGGGAAGACCTTTCAGAGAAATTGCCCCGCTCGACTGAAAACGTGGCCGTGATGGAGAAACCACCACGCTCCTGGGTAAATGGCGCTCACTGTCACCTTATTTCCAGTCCAATTGGGTCTTGGTTCAACCTCCAGCCAACAGATCGGGTCCTCAGCTAGACGGAAGAGCCCATTATTAAATATTTGTTCCCCCTCCATATTGGGATCAAGTCCCGCCTTCCCCTTCTCGTTGTCGAGCTAAATAGCTGGAACTCCTGGCACCTCTTGCTCTAAGGCGGGTTTTCTAATTCTTTAATCACCCCCGTGGCTCTTCTCTGCCCCCTCGCCAACCGAGCAACGCTCTCCTTGGATGGGGGGGCACCAGAACCGGATGCAGGAGCCCCGCAGCGTCGCCCCAGGGCCAAACCACCTCTCTGCTCCTACTCGAGATTCCCCTGGGGATGCTTCCCAGGTTCCCATTAGCCCTTTTGACCTTCGCATCACACAGGGTAGCTCAGGTTCAACTGATTGGCCGCTACGACCCACCCCCAAATCTTTTCCAGAGTTCCTGCTTCCCAGAAGAGAGCCCCCTGCCCCATCCTGGGAGTCCGGCCAGCATTTGTTCCTAGATGGATACAGGGACATTGAGCCATGTGAAAACCCACATTGCTTGCGGCCAGTTTACCAAGTGATCCAGCCAGCTCTGTAGCTGCGCCCTGTCCTTTACGAAGTTAACCCCCATCCTCAGCTGTCGTGTCCTGTGTAAAAGTCACCAGTGACAATTTCACGTTTTCTTCCAGGTCGAAAACGTTAACTCGCCTCAGGACCAGGGCCAATCCTTGCGGGACCCCAGTAGAAACGCCCGCTCGATGGCGACGCCCTGTTTGCAGTCATGTTTTGAGACCTAGCGTTGGCCGGTTTTTAGTCCACGTCTGCGTGGGCCGTGCTGGTTTATAGCGGCCTGGAGTTTTTAATCAAAATGCCGTGTGCTACCGCGCGAAACGCCGCCCAGCAGTGGCGGTATATTACAGCAACTCGGTTATCGTTAGCACCCAAACTTGTCGTCTCAGCCAAAAGCGAGATCAAGTCAGTTTGACAGGATCTATTTCCCATAAACCCGTGCTGATTGGCTTTAAGTACATTGCCCTCCTTCAATTCTTTATTGAGTCCTGTATCAGTCACTCCATTAACTTGACACCATCAGATCAGGATTAAACAAAGACGGTGACTGGCTCGCCAACTACAAAAGCAGTTTCTCCTCCCTTGGTATTCACACCTCAACTGCTAGAAGAGGGCCTCATCCTCCCTGATTGAACTAACCTCGTTATCCCTAGCCTGAGTCTTGCTTGCATATTTATAGCTGCCTCTGGAAATTTCCACTACATGCATCTGACGAAGTGGGTATTCACCCATAAAAGCTTATGCTCCAATATGTCTATTAGTCTATAAGGTGCCACAGGACTCTTTGCCGCTTTTACAGATCCAGACTAACATAGCTACCCCTCTGATACTTGACTCCATTAACTTGCTAGGGATTGATGTCAGATCGACAGGCCTGGAACTGCCCGGGGTCATATGCTTTATGCTTTTTAAATAGTGGCACATTAGGTTTCTTCCAGTCTTATGCAACTTTCCCAGTGCTCCAAGACTTACTGGAAATCAACATTAATGGTGCAGAGAGCACCTCAGCTAGCTCTTTTTAAACTCTTGGTTGCAAGTTATCTGGACCTGCTGATTTTAAAAGTCTAACTGTAGTTGCTGCTGTTTACCATCCTCCTGTGATACTAGTGGAATGGAAAGTATGGTATCATATGATAGGCCATCATCTATTTTTCCTCAAATACACAACAGAAATATTTGTTGAACAATTCTACCTTTTCTGCTTTATTGTTCATAATTCTACCATTTCCATCTAGAAATGGACCAATTCCATTGCCAGGATTCTTTTTATATTTAATATACTTAAAAAAAACTTCCTTCTTTTTGCACCTAACTCTGCTGGAGTTAGCTACTACTACCTAGCTACTTCTGTCTCTTTGCTTCCCTTATCAATTTTCTACAATTCATAGTTTCTGATTTATAGTCATTACTGTCAGCTTCTCCTTTGCTTCTGATTTATATTCATTATTGTCAGCTTCTCCTTTGCTTCTGATTTATATTCATTACTATCAACCTCCCCGTTGCTTCTGATTTATATGCATTACTATGAGCTTCCCCTAAATTCTAGTTGTTATACCTATCAATCTCGCTATCTGCCTTCACTTCCGCTCTAAGGTTGTGTTGTTAACCAGCACAGCCTTCTTCCTCAGCTGTGGTTTTTGGCCTTCTGATTTAGTGTTCTTAGGCAATTTCCAATGATCATTCACATTTTTCTGATTAAATTCTTCCTTCCAGCTCATTTGGCTTATAATTATTTTCAGCTTTGGACTCTGGACTTTACTCTGTTTGCACATTATGAATACCATAAAGCCTGGGTCCCTTGTACCAGAGCCATCATTAATGTCTAGCTCCGTGATCGGTTCCTCATTCTCTGTTAGGATGAAATTTTATCCAGAATTCTCCCATGTCAGTGGCTACAGCATTTGAGATAGGAAATTGTCAGCTAAGATGTTGAGAAATTCCCAGAATGATTTTGTGTTGGCAGCACATGGCCTCCAGAGTATATTACCCAAATTGAAGCCCCAGTGATCATGCAGCTTTTGTTCCTATACATTATAGGGGGCATAAGTTGTTGTTCACTCTGGTCCCTAGTGTGATTTGAGGGGCCTGTAGCAGACTCCAACTAATAACCCTTCTTGTTCTTTATCTGTTAGGCCATTGATCCCAAAGCGTAGATCATTTCCTTCCGTGTTGAGGCGGAAACAGGGCGTGCCATTGGTGGCGTGGATTTCCCTTTCATCCACCAGGCCTCTTGGTTGTTGCCCAGGCGCCGAGCTTTGCTATACAGGCAACTCAAGGCTTTTTCTCCCCTCACAGCCTTTGCTTCATTATTTTTTCCCTCAGAATCCTGATTTTGGGAGAAGCTCCTCCGCTAGGCCCCACTCCCCTCCCACCATGCTGTGGGGGCAGGCCGGCCAGAGCCGTCAAGCCGAGATCTAACCCAGCCGGACGCAACATTAAGGGAGACCCCCCCAGACCCGCCTGGCCTGGTATTTAGGCCCAGTGCCCAGCTGAGGCCCTGATCTCCTCCCCCAACACCCCTGTCATGGGGGGGGGGGGAATCTGACCCCTTCCCCCCACGAGCCAGGCTGTTTACGCTTCCCAGACACGCTAAGAAGGGACAAGCAGGAAGGAAGAAGCCAAGGGGGTTTATATTTAGCTGAATGCTCCGTCTGGGACCCGAGCTGCTCCCGCTAATCCATCCCCCTCCTCCCACGCAGGTGCCCCAAACCCACTGATGCCCCCTGAGCAGCCTTTGTACGGTGCTGGGGGGCAGGCAGCCTGATCCTCATTTAGACCCTACTCCCCTCCCAGAGCCAAGGAGAGACCCCAGGAGTCCTGACTCCCAGCTGCCCTTCCTCTACGTGGGGCACGAATATTCAGTAACCGACTCTCCCCTGTAGCAGAGGAAGGTCGAGCCCGATCCCAGGGCTGGATGTTGAAGTGAGACACATTCCCGCGGGAAACAATGTGCACATTTCTCACGGGGAGAGGAATTAACCAGCGGGACGACGGGCCGGGCGGGCGGTGGATTCTCCCTCACCGGCAGCGTTGGGCTGTTCCTCTGAACGCTGGTCCTGGGACCAGCTGGGGGCCGGCCTCGGGCCTTGGAGCTTCGACTCTAACCACTAGACCCCACTCCCGTCTCTTGCGCCTTGAGGAATGGGGCACGGGGCCTTTGCCCTCTGGGGGCGCCAGCTCTGATTTGCTCCAGGGCAGGTGGGCTGGCTCAGGGGGGGCGGGGAATGGGGCTCGGGGCCCGTCCCCTCTAGGGGGCGCCGGCTCCCATCCGGCTCCAGGGCAGGGACTGGCTGGCTGCATCCCAGGACCCCATGGAATACGTTAGTCTTCCAGAACGGTCCCAGTAATTCAAGGGCAAAGGGGTCTTAACTGGGGTCTTGGCAGATGGTCTTGAAATAGGATCAATCAGGTAATTCCTCCGGGCTCGGATTTGGGGGCTGTTTCTACTTAATTAGTTAAAGCCGGAGGCAGGGGGCTGGGAGCCTGGACTCCTGGGTTCTATCTCTGGCTCTGGGAGGGGGGGTGGGGGCGAGTGATCACAGGGGGGTGGGGGCAGCAGGCCATGAGGTTCCTAATTGGGGGAGGGATAAGAGAGGTTGAGATGGAGGAAGGGGTGGGGGGTGTAAACTGAGGTAATGGGGGAGGGGCTGGGCAAGCAATGGCCAAGGATGCAGGGGGATGGGGTAGGGGGCTGACCCTACCCTATCATAGGGGGTGATCCTGCCGCAGGGTGAGAAGGGAGGTTATGGGGGTGACAGCTGGGGACTGATAGGGTGGGGTGGGGGGGAGCGGGCTGCTCATTGAGCCACTGCAGCATTTAGGGAGGAGGTGGCTGGGGCGTGGGGGGGGAGGTGAATGGGGCCCCACAGTATCTGCTGATGCTCCAGCCCCTCCTAGAATGAGTCCAGGGTGTGGAGGGGGGGCACTGGTGGGGGGGGCAGATGATAGGGGTCAGTGGGCAAAGGGGAGAGGTTAATAGGCAGGGGCCTGGGGTCACTGGGGAAGGTAAGAGGGGGAGGCAAAGAGGTGGGATGGGTCCATGGGAAGGGGATGGGGGTCAATGGTTGGGGTGTGAGGGGAGCTGGGGGGTCAGTGAGGGTCAGTGGGAGTGGTCGGGAGGGCTGGGGGTCAGTCAGGAGGGGGGTTGATGGGAGGGTTGGGAGGAGGGGGTAAATGGGAGAGGGACTGGGGGTCAGTGAGGAGGGGGAGTCAATGGCTGGGGTCGCTGGGGGTCAGTGAGGAGAAGGGTTGAAGAGAGGGTTGGGGGGCCTGGGGGTCAGTGAGGAGGGGGGTGGATGAGAGGGTTGGGGGGCCTGGGGGTCAGTGAGGAGGGGGATCGATGGTGGGGGGGCTGGGGGTCAGCGAGGAGGGGGTTGATGGGAGGGTTGGGTTGGTGGGGGTTAGTGGGGGGTTGTTGGCTGGGGGGGCCAATCCCCCCCTTACCTGGAGGTGCTCCAGCCTCTCCTTGAGCGACTCCAGCATGCGCTCCAGCTGGGGGGGGCCGGCGGGCACCTCCCGGGGGGGGTCCTCCATGGTGTTGGGGGTGGCGCTGGCCTTGCGGAAGGCGGCCTCGCTCCCGGCACCACCCAGGGACTCGGGGTGCTCGCGGTGCCCGAAGTGGGGGTACTCGTTCTCCCGGCCGGCCCCCTCCCGGTGCCCGTGGCTCAGGTTGTCCTCGTGCCCGTCCAGCCCGGGCTCCCCGCCCGCCCGGCCCTCGCACCGGCTCAGCTTGGCCGTCAGCTCCCGCACCGTCTCCCGCTGGTCCAGGATGGTCTCCTTCTGGTGCACCACCGTCTCCCGCAGGTGCAGGATGGTCTCTTTGGCCTCCTCCAGCGTGCCCGCCCAGTGCCCCCCGGCCCGCGGCTGCGGGGCCTGCTGGCAGCCCGTCTCCGGCTCCAGGGGCATGGGGCTGCAGACGAACTTGGGCAGGGCATACTCCCCCCTGCCGCCGGGCACCCAGCAGAGGGCCCAGAGGAGAGCCCAGGCCAGCCGCATCCCGGCACCCGCCGGACCCTCGCCACCGGCCCCAGCCTTCCTCCCACGGAGGCGCCCGGACAATCTGTGCCCGCGGCCGCTTGGCTCGGCAAGCAGCTGGGACTTTTCTTTTTCTCGCCACCCCCCCCCCCCGCTACTGTCCCGTCCGCCTTGATTTCCCAAATCCCCTGGTGATGGGCGGAGGGTGCCCGTCTCCCCGGAGACGGGGGAATTAGACAGGCAGGTTAATGGGCTTAAGGAGCCGTGGCAAAGCTCCCCCCACCCCTCCGCCTCTGGCAACGGGACCCAGGCGTCCTACAGCCAAGCTGGCAGGGGTCAGGGGCTTTTGGCAGCTCAAAGGATGCTAACGAACTGGGAGGGATTTAGGGAGGGGAAGTGACACGCCGGGACAGCGGGGATGAGCCCCCAGCACGGCGCGGGAGGGGGTGCACGCCCAGACTCAAGCGCAGCTTCCCGGGGATCGATCTGGAGTCACCCCTGACTGCAGTGGGGACAGCACCGGGTTCTGATCTCTGCTATCCCAGGGTCGATCCGGAGTCACCCCTGACTGCACAGGGGGCAGGGTCGGGTTCTGATCTCAGCCCCCTGGGGTCGATCCATTGTCACCCCTGATTGCAGTGGGGACAGCACCGGGTTCTGATCTCTGCTATCCCAGGGTCGATCCGGAGTCACACCTGACTGCACGGGGGGCAGGGTCGGGTTCTGATCTCAGCCCCCTGGAGTCAATCCGGAGTCACCCCTGACTGCACTGGAGGTAGTCCAGATTTGCACCAGGGGGCCTTGGGCCAGTTAAGCCCTCCCCCGTGCCCCCCCCAAGCCATGGGCTGTTGGCTATAACACAGGAAACAATCCAGCTTTATTCTGTAGAGCGCCTACATACATTGTGGTGGGGGTCGCTGCCTCCTGCTGGCTGGAACAAGCCCCACACGCCGCCGTGTCATCGTCCTCGTACCGCTCCAGGCTGAAGGGGAGTCTCGGACTGCACCGGCTGCAGAGGCTGGGGTGTGGTTCTCTCCCCACAGCCCCCGGCTGGGGTTACTCGGCCAGGTTGAACTGCACCATCCCCCCGGCTTCCTCGCTGGCCCCCAGGGCCTCCCGCAGCTGGGTCCAGAAGACGGCCTGGGCCTCGGGCTGCTCCGGCCAGTGCAGGTAGCTGCCCTGCTTCACCAGCCTCCGCAGGCGGTGGTAGGGGGAGAGGCTGCGGGGGCAAGAGGCCGAGATCTGAGCCCCAAGGCCCATGGCACCCGCTCCCCACGGCGCCCCCAGGAGCTCCCCCCACAGCCAGCCCCCTTCCTGCTCCCCAGAGTACCCCCGGGAGCTCCCCCCGCAGCCAGCGCCCACCCTCCCGCTCCCCACAGCGCCCCCGGGAGCTCCCCCGCAGCCAGCGGCCCACCCTCCTGCTCCCCAAGGCCAGCGCCCCCCCCCGCTCCCCACGGCGCCCGCAGGTGCTCCCCCCGCAGCCAGCCCCCCTCTCGCTCCCCACAGCGCCACTGGGAGCTCCCCCCACAGCCAGCGCCCCCCTCCCGCTCCCCACGGCGCCCGCGGGAGCTCTCCCCGCAGCCGGCGCCCCCCTTGGATCCCCACAGCGCTCCCAGGAGCTCCCCCCGCAACCAGCTCCCTCCCGTTCCCCACAGTGCCCCCGGGAGCTCCCCCCGCAGCCAGCTCCCTCCCACTCCCCACAGCTCCCCCCGCAGCCAGCTCCCTCCCACTCCCCACAGCTCCCCCCACAGCCAGCACCCCTCCCGTTCCCCACGCGCCCCCAGGAGCTCCCCCACAGCCAGCACCCCTCCCGTTCCCCACGCGCCCCCAGGAGCTCCCCCTCCTGCCAGCCCCCCCCCCCACGGCTCCCCACAGCGCCCCCGGGAGCTCCCCCCACAGCCAACCCCCTCCCGGCTCCCCACAGCGCCCCCGGGAGCTCCCCCGCAACCAGCTCCCTCCTGTTCCCCACAGCGCCCCCGGGAGCTCCCCCGCAGCCAGCTCCCTCCCACTCCCCACAGCTCCCCCCACAGCCAGCACCCCTCCCGTTCCCCACGCGCCCCCAGGAGCTCCCCCACAGCCAGCACCCCTCCCGTTCCCCACGCGCCCCCAGGAGCTCCCCCTCCTGCCAGCCCCCCCCCCACGGCTCCCCACAGCACCCCCGGGAGCTCCCCCCACAGCCAACCCCCTCCCACTCCCCACAGCGCCCCCGGGAGCTCCCCCCACAGCCAACCCCCCTCCCGGCTCCCCACAGCGCCCCCGGGAGCTCCCCCCGCAACCAGCTCCCTCCCGTTCCCCACAGTGCCCCCGGGAGCTCCCCCCGCAGCCAGCTCCCTCCCACTCCCCACAGCTCCCCCCACAGCCAGCACCCCTCCCGTTCCCCACGCGCCCCCAGGAGCTCCCCCACAGCCAGCACCCCCTCCCGTTCCCCACGCGCCCCCAGGAGCTCCCCCTCCTGCCAGCCCCCCCCCCACGGCTCCCCACAGCACCCCCGGGAGCTCCCCCCACAGCCAACCCCCCTCCCACTCCCCACAGCGCCCCCGGGAGCTCCCCCCACAGCCAACCCCCCTCCCGGCTCCCCACAGCGCCCCCGGGAGCTCCCCCCGCAGCCAGCTCCCTCCCACTCCCCACAGCTCCCCCCACAGCCAGCACCCCTCCCGTTCCCCACGCGCCCCCAGGAGCTCCCCCACAGCCAGCACCCCTCCCGTTCCCCACGCGCCCCCAGGAGCTCCCCCTCCTGCCAGCCCCCCCCAACGGCTCCCCACAGCACCCCCGGGAGCTCCCCCCACAGCCAACCCCCCTCCCACTCCCCACAGCGCCCCCGGGAGCTCCCCCCGCAGCCAGCCCCCCCCCCGGCTCCCCACAGCGCCCCCGGGAGCTCCCCCGCAACCAGCTCCCTCCCGTTCCCCACAGCGCCCCCGGGAGCTCCCCCCGCAGCCAGCGCCCCCCCCCCGGCTCCTCACAGCTCCCCTGGGAGCTCCCCCCGCAGCCAACCCCCCTCCCGGCTCCCCACAGCGCCCCCGGGAGCTTCCCCCGCAGCCAGCGCCCCCCCCCCCCCGGCTCCTCACAGCTCCCCTGGGAGCTCCCCCCGCAGCCAGCTCCCTCCCACTCCCCACAGCCAGCACCCCTCCCGTTCCCCACGCGCCCCCAGGAGCTCCCCCACAGCCAGCACCCCTCCCGTTCCCCACGCGCCCCCAGGAGCTCCCCCTCCTGCCAGCCCCCCCCCACGGCTCCCCACAGCACCCCCGGGAGCTCCCCCCGCAGCCAACCCCCCTCCCACTCCCCACAGCACCCCCGGGAGCTCCCCCCGCAGCCAGCTCCCCCCTCCCGGCTCCCCACAGCGCCCCCGGGAGCTCCCCCCGCCGCCCCCAGCTGGGAGAGGTGGGGCCAGGCTAGCCGCCGGGGGAACCTCACCGGTAGTTGGGGATGTCCTCGAGGAAGACGACGACCAGCGGGTCGTGGCCCCGGTCGTAGGTGCGGGCGCAGGCCAGCTGGATCTCCAGTGAGCACCACTCACTCTCCAGGGCGCGGGCACTCAGCAGGCACAGGGCCTTGCGGCTGCTGCTCACGCCCTGCTGCACGTTGTCCAGGTAATAGGCCCCGGGGGCGAAGTCGCGGGGCCCGAAGCAGAGCCGGAGCCGGGGCCGCCCTTCCTCCTCCAGCTTGGCCAGCAGCGTGCGCACCGCCCAGGCCTCGTCCTCGGGGCAGCAGGAGACGTAGGCGTCGTACTGGTAGCCCCACCGGCCCCGCCGCAGCCGGCCCCGGCCCCAGGCCCGCAGCAGGTAGTAGCCGTAGCGCAGGGTCCAGCCCAGCTTGGCCCCGGCCAGGGACCCCGCCAGCGCCAGGAAGGTGGCGGCGAACGACCCCGCGAAGAAGACCGCGCCCAGGTCCGCCCAGCAGAAGGCGAGATCGTGGGCTTGGAAGAGCCCCTGGCTCACGCCGGGCCCCAGGCAGAGGTAGGAGCCCAGCAGGGCCACCTGGACCCCCGGCTCCGCCGCCGACCAGTTCTGGAACCAGGCGTTCTCGCAGGAGCAGGCCAAGGGGTTGCCGGCCACGTCCAGGTAGCGCAGCGCGGGCAGGTGGGCCAGCGGGGCCCGGCTCACGTTCCGCAGCCCGTTCTCCCGCAGCGAGAGCCACTCCAGGGAGGCCAGGCTGGAGAAGACCTCGCCGGGCAGGTCCCGGAGGGAGCTGCCGTCCAGCTGGAGCCGCCGCAGGCCGCCCAGGCCTCGGAAGAGCCCCGGGCGGAGGCTGAAGAGCCCTTCCCGGCCGGGGTAGATGTCGGAGAGATCCAGGGAGCGGAGGCTGGCCAAGGGAGCCAGCGAGAGGTTGAGGAAGACGCCGCTGGGGTTGTCCCTCAGGCTGAGCTCCTGGAGGTTCCCCAGCCCTTGGAAGAGTTTGGAGGGCAGCCGGACGGGGGGCCGGGCCTCCTGCGAGCTGAGATCCAGGCCCCGCAGGGCCGGCAGGCTGGCGAAGGGGGCAGGCGAGTCGTACTTGCAGTAGGCCAGGAGGCGGTTGCGGCTGAGGTCCAGGGTCTCCAGGGCCTTCAGGCCCAGGAAGGAGCCCTGGGAGAGTTTGTAGAGGCCGTTCTGGGCCAGCGAGAGGTGGCGGAGGGAGGTGAGGCCCTTGAAGGCCCCTTTCTGGAGGGTGAGGATGCGGTTGCCGGAGAGCAGCAGGGTGCGGAGACGGTGGAGGCTCAGGAAGGCAGAGGTCTTGATGTACTGGAGGTTGTTGTCACTCAGGTCCAGGGTCTCCAGCTTGCGGGTGTAGGCGAAGGTGTCGCGGGTGACGGCCGCCAGCTGGCAGCCCTGCAGAAGCAAGGTCCTCAGGGAGGTCATGCCCAGAAAGGACCCCTTGTAGATGTAGGTCAGGCGGTTCCTGGACAGGTCCAGGTGGGCCAAGCTGCCGAGGGGCCGGAAGACGCGGTCTTCCAGCTTGGTGAGGTGGTTGCGTCGCAGGACGAGGACCCGGAGCCAGGGCAGCGACCCGCCCCAGGCACTCTGCTTCAGCCGCTTGACCTTGCACTTGTCCAGCGAGAGGGACTCCAGGCGGGGGAACGAGCGGAAGACGCCCCCCTCCAGCTGGCTCAGCGGGGTGGTGGACAGGTCCAGCCAGGTCAGGTTGGTGCAAGCGCCCAGTTGGCCCAGCCGGGACGGCGGGAGCTTGGAGTGTTTGATGTCCAGGGTGGTCAGCGCCGGCAGGCTCCCCAAGACCTGGCAGGCCAGCCCGAGGTCCGCGTCCAGCACCGGGCGCATGCTGGACCAGTGCAGGGCTGTGAGGTTGGGCAGCGGCAGGCCCAGGAGGTAGGAGATGTTGAGGGGGTTTTCGTCCAAACTCAGCTCCTCCAGGCCGGGCACGGCGCCGAAGGAACCGGCCTCCAGCCGACTCATGTTGTTGTGGGTCAGGTTGAGAGAGCGCAGGCTGGGCAGGGAGCAGTGGGCGAGGTCCAGCCAGGCGATGCTGTTGTTCCGCAGGTTGAGGTCCCGCAGGAAGGGCATAGAGAGCAGGCCGGGGCCAGGGCACGGGGCGGAGATCCGGTTGGAGTCCAGGTTGAGGAGGGAGAGGTTGACCAAGCCGCTGGCGACCGCGGCCACCTCCTGGAGCTGGGAGAGCTGATTGTGGGGCAGCTGGAGCTCCTGCAGACCGGGCTGGGCTGCCAGGGCGGCAGGGTGCAGGGCGGCCAGGGCGTTGCCCCTCAGAAGCAGGACCCGCAGGCCCGTCAGCCCCGCCAGCGCCGCGGGGCCCAGGGCCGCCAGCCGGTTCTGGCTGAGGTCCAGCAGCTCCAGCTCCTGCAGGCCCTGGAAGGCGCCGATCTGCAGGGCGCGGAGGCGGTTGAGGTCGAGCCGCAGCTCCCGCAGGCGGGGCAGGTGGGCGAAGGTGGCGGGCGCCAGGTCCTGCAGGGCGTTCTGGGAGGCGTTGAGCCAGAGGGTGGAGTTGGGCAGCAGGGCGATGGCCGGGCCCAGCTGGGTGATGCCGTGCCCGGCGCAGCTGGCGTAGCCTGGCAGCTCGTAGGGCAGCTGGCACCAGGCAAAGCCGAAGGCGCTGGCATGGCGGGCACAGAGGACGGCTGCAAGGAGGCAGAGGGGCAGGGCCAGGGGCATGGCGGAGGGGGGGGGGGGGCTGTGTGTGCTGCCCTCTGCTGGTTGTGTGTGTGCACGCCTGGGACTGGCACAGCACAGAACACGCCCCGCTTACGCCCCCCACCCCACCCGCTGACCCCCGCACCCAGTGACCTCCACCCACTCCCGGCAGCGAGTGACCTGGGGCCAGGGCTTCTAGCTACACCCCCCCCCACTCCCAAGGATTGCCACCCCAATCCGATGGCAGGCGCCTTAAAAGAGCCCCCGTTTCCTGCCCCCGGCTGGGGCTGAGCCGAGCGACCCGGCACACAGACACCTGCAACGAGAAAAACAAATTGCACTCCCGTCACTAGTGGTTAGAGTTGCGGGGGGGGGGCTGGAAGCCCGGACTCCTGGGTTCTCTCCCCAGCTCAGGGAGGAGAGTGGGGTCTAGTGATTAGAGGGGGGAGGCTGGGAGCCCGGACTCCTGGGTTCTCTCCCCAGCTCAGGGAGGAGAGTGGGGTCTAGTGATTAGAGGGGGGAGGCTGGGAGCCCGGACTCCTGGGTTCTCTCCCCAGCTCAGGGAGAGGAGGGGTGGGCTAGTGGTTAGAGGGGGACTGGGTCCTGTTCCCTCAGCTAACACCATCTGTGTGTGACCTCACGGGGTCAGACGTAATTTCTCCATTTCACTTCCCTTCTGCAAAGCCGGGCACAGGAAATTCGCTCTGCAGCCCGGAGGTCCGTGGACTCAGGGAGCTAATGACCGGAAAGGGCTTAAATCCGGGCTAAGCAGGGGCAGTATTGGCAGCCGCCCCAGGGCGGGGACTGGCTGGCTCAGGCGGGTGGGGAATGGGGCACGGGGCCTTTCCCTCTAGGGGGCACCGGCTCCCATCCGGTCCCAGAGCAGGGGCTGTTGGGGGGGGGCATAGATAATGGCTGCCTCCTGGCCAGGCTGGAGGGGTTTTGGGGGGGGGTCTTTGGATGCAATTGTGCCCCCTAGTGGCAGGAAATCGCAGCTGCTGATCCCCCTGCCCCCCCCCCCCCCCGCCACTCTTCGCTCTACCTTTCTTGTGGTTGCAAATGAAACCAGCTCTGGGAACTGAGTCGTCACCCCCCCCCCCCCACTGCCGCCACCCCCCCCCCGCCAGGGCTCTGACCCAGCACCTCGAGGGACACTGTCCCCCGGGATGCCGTCGGGGGGGGGGGGTCTCAGCTGGGGGATGGGCTCCCCAAGGGCCTTCGTGGTCTGGGTTGAAGCTGTCCCATCCTTGCTGAGGGCTGCCGGGGGAAGGTGGAGGGGGGGATTGGGGGCATCTAGGGGCCTGCAAGTGCATGGTGGGAGGGGGGATGTCTATGTGACCAGACCCCCAACTTGGCTGGTGCCCCTCACTCCCGACCCGCAGCCCCCTGCTAGCCCAGCCCTGAGCTCCTGCCCCCCCCAGGCCCCCCCCAGCTCTGCTGATGCCCCTCACTCCCGACCCGCAGCCTCCTGCCTCTCTCTCACCTGCTATCTCAGAGCTCAGACTTTCGGCACCACCTGTCCCGACTCCTGGGATGAGTCAAAACTTGTCTCCGGGCGTCGCTGGCCGCTACTTCCTCACTGTGCAACGCGCCGACACCATCAGAAACTTGCTGCGGAAATTGCAGCACCCAGGCGTATGCGCAGGGTGTGCAAAAGGGGGCGCCCTCCCCCACAGGGGTCACTGACCCCCACTGAGCCTCTCCCCGCCCCGCTCCCCGCAGCCCAGCGCCCCCCGCTGAGCCCCCCACCCGCTCCCCGCAGCCCAGCGCCCCCCGCTGAGCCCCCCACCCGCTCCCGGCAGCCCAGCGCCCCCCGCTGAGCCCCCCGCCCCGCTCCCCGCAGCCCAGCGCCCCCTGCAGAGCCCCCCGCCCCGCTCCCCGCTCCCCGCAGCCCAGCGCCCCCGCTGAGCCCCCCACCCGCTCCCCGCAGCCCAGCGCCCCCGCTGAGCCCCCGCCCCGCTCCCAGCAGCCCAGCGCCCCCTGCAGAGCCCCCGCCCCGCTCCCGGCAGCCCAGCGCCCCCCGCTGAGCCCCCCGCCCCGCTCCCCGCAGCCCAGCGCCCCCCGCTGAGCCCCCCCCGCTCCCCGCAGCCCAGCGCCCCCTGCACCCGCTCCCAGCAGCCCAGCGCCCCCCGCTGAGCCCCCCGCCCCGCTCCCGGCAGCCCAGCGCCCTCCGCTGAGCCCCCCGCCCCGCTCCCAGCAGCCCAGCGCCCCCTGCAGAGCCCCCCGCCCCGCTCCCGGCAGCCCAGCGCCCCCCGCTGAGCCCCCCGCCCCGCTCCCCGCAGCCCAGCGCCCTCCGCTGAGCCCCCCGCCCCGCTCCCGGCAGCCCAGCGCCCCCTGCAGAGCCCCCCGCCCCGCTCCCGGCAGCCCAGCGCCCCCCGCTGAGCCCCCCACCCGCTCCCGGCAGCCCAGCGCCCCCCGCCCCGCAGCCCAGCGCCCCCTGCAGAGCCACCCGCCTCGCTCCCAGCAGCCCAGCGCCCCCCGCTGAGCCCTCCACCCGCTCCCGGCAGCTCAGCGCCCCCCGCTGAGCCCCCCGCCCTGCTCCCCGCAGCCCAGCGCCCCCTGCTGAGCTCCCCGCCCTGCTCCCTTCAGCCCAGCGCCCCCCGCTGAGCCCCCTGCCCTGCTCCCTGCAGCCCAGTGGCCCCTCGCACCATGCTGGGGCATTGAGGCCAACCCTGACTGCTGGGGAGCTGCAGTGGCAGGGGGTGGGCAGCAGGGGGCAGTCTGACCCCAGGCTCCGGGCTGAGCCCGAGACCATCCAAATCCGGGCTGTGAGATTGCGGTGCCGGAGAGATGCTGGCCGCAGTCCCATGGGAACGGGGAGCCCAGAGCACCGTGGACGTGCCTGGGAGCCCCGCCAGCCCCGGGGGGGAGAGGGAGGGGAGATGCTGCTAACGCCAGGTCCGGGGGGCGGGACGGGGTCACGCAGACCTGGGGGTGAGGTGGGCACCAGGAATCCAGGGAAGTGGAGGCTTCAGCAGACACGTCTTGGCGTCTGGAACCGGGTCAGGGAACCCAGGGAGTGGAGATGGGGGAAGAGAGGGTGAGGGCAGAGCCCTGCCCGTGCCCCTCACTCCCGACCCGCAGCCCCCTGCCAGCCCAGCCCTGGGCTCCCCCACCCCAGTCCTGGCGGTGCCCGTCACTCCTGACCCCCAGTCCCCATTGCGCATCTGAGACATATGTTACAATGACCATTCATATTTGGCCACTGACCTTAGTACTTAGAAGGCAGAGCGCCCCCTGCAGAGCCCCCCCCGCCCCCCTCCCCACAGCCCAGCGCCCCCTGCTGCTCCCCCGCCCCGCTCCCCGCAGCCCAGCGCCCCCTACTGCCCCCCACCCCGCTCACCAGCGCCCCCTGCAGAGCCCCCCTCCCCGCAGCCCAGCACCCCCCTCTGCTGCCCCCGCCCCGCTCCCCGCAGCCCAGCGCCGCTGGGTCCATCTATCGAGCTGGTTCCAGTGAAGCCAACACGTCTCGTCCGGGGCGGGGCGTATTTCACGGGGGGGGGGGGGAGGGGGCGCGTTAGCCTGTCTCTTTAAATATGGAAATGAGCCAAAGAGGCCACGCCCATTCATGCTAAAGTGGCCCAGATTTCGAGGGGAGGGGAAGGATGGGGCGGTCACGGGCGACTCCTGATTGGCTGGAAAGTTTATTTTCAGGCTGGCGTTTTGGCAGGACCTTTTCCTGTCTGTCTCTCTCAGTGGCCCCCCCACCGCACCCCCCATAACTCCTCCCCCGCAGCACCCCGCCCCCCAGAAGCCCCCTCTTCCCCGCAACTCCTCCTCCCCCTCCTAGAATCCCTCCCACACCTCCCCCATAAACTCTGCCCCCCCCCATTCCCCAGCCCCTGGCCCCCCAGCCCCAACTCCGCCCTCCCCCACCCGCTGGTGCTGCCCACCCCGCCCTCCGGTCCTTGCCTCGGGGCTCGCTGCGTCCCAGCTCCCGGCCGGTCCCCGGCGCCAGCATGTCCCGCTCGGACGAGGTCAACCGGCTCACGGAGAGTGTCTACCGGGTGAGCCCTGCGGGCCCCCCCCGTCGGTCTCCCCCCTCCCCCGCCGGTCCCTTCTCTCCTCCTCCCGCCGGCTCCCCCCCCCTGCAGGTCCCTTCTCTGCTCCCCCCACCAGTTTCCCCCTCCGGGTCCCCCCTGCCGGTCCCTTCCCGGCACCTTCCCTGCTCCACCGCCGGCTCCCGCCCCCCCCCCCGCGCCGGTCCCTTCCCTGCTCCCCCCGTCGGTTCCCCCCCACTCCTCTAGTCCCTTCCCTGCTCCCCCCGCTTCCTCTGCGCCCCCTTGCCTGCGCAGTTATTCTACTCCCTGGCCCCGGCCATACCCCCCCCCCCCCGCATTCCCTCCATCTCCCTGGCCTGGAGCTTTTCTCTACACTCCCCCCACCCCCTGGAGTCTGGAGCCCCTTTGTTAGCCTGGCAGGGAAGCGTCTGGGGAAGTGTTTTGGGGAGGGGGGTTGCGGTGGAGGGTGCATGTGTGGAGGTAGATGGTGAGGGGGGAGTGGGGCCTGAGGGGGTGGGGGGCCTGAGATTCCGTTGTCCCCCGTTTGCTCCGCCTCCCCGTGGGGGTTGGGGTGCTGGGGGCCCTGCCGCTCACCCAGACTTCCACTGAGCGATGGGGATGGGTCGGTTGCCAGGGTCTGGTCCCCTCAGCTTCTGGCTCTTTCTGGGGCTATGGGTTTTAACCCCAGCCCATGGGGCAGCCCTGAGGGGGTGGGGTCAATCTGGAGTCACCCCTGATTGCAACAGGGCCAGGTTCTGATCCCAGCATCAAACTGGAGTCACCCCTGATTGCAGCGCGGCCGGATTCTGATCTCAGACCCTCTGGTGTCAATCCGGAGTGAACCCTGATTGCAATGGCACCGGGTTCTGATCCCAGCTCCCTCTCAGGGTCAATCCGGAGTCACCCCTGTTTGCAGCGGGGCCAGGTTCTGATCTCAGTCACCCAGCTCCGCCCGGAGGATTCCCCCGGGAGCTTGGACTTGTTCCTGCTCAGCAGGGAACGAAGGGGAAAAATGAACCCGCAAATGCTGGGGCGAGGGAGGGGGTCGGGGGGATGGTTTCCTGCCCATGTCGCTGAGGGGTTCATCTGGCATCCGTGGGGAGGGTCGGGCGCTGGGGTCTCGGCTCCTTTCGATCCATCCATCCATCCTCCCATGCACCCCTCCATCCCTGTCTGCACCTCTCCGTCCCCCAATCTAATCACTCTGTCCTCCCCCCAGTTATGCCAGCCACGGCTCCGGCCCTGGGACCCCTCGTTCCATTCCCCTCCATGCAGCCCCCAATCGGGGGTCCCCCCCAGGATGGGATGTGACCCCCCCCAAAGGGCCAGGGTGCAGAGCACTGTTGCGGGGGGGCTGCATCTTGTGTGGATTCCCAGCCCCCTGTCCCAGCTGACTGGGGATTAAATGTGCGGGGGCAGGGGGGGACTGCAATTTCTGGCTGGATCAGATTCTTTTAAAAGGCTAACTCGTTCCCGGGGAAACAGCCTGTGGGAGCCGAGAGAAATCGGGCTGGGCTCCAGATGCCTCTTGGATCCTCCCCCCACAGGGCCTGGGGGCCAGGGAACAGCCCCAGCTCAGGGCCCCCCGGCTACACCCCTCTGGCTCCAGTGTTTCCATGAGGGGTATCAGTCCATCTGTCCGCGTCTACATGTCTAGCGATAGCTACATGTCTTGCTTCATTATTGTAGGCTGCTTTACCATTGTAGGGTTGCTTGGGAACCCAGGAGTCCTGGCTCCCAGCCTCTCTGCCCCCCGCTCTAAGCACTAGTCCTCCCCCTCCCCTCCCCGAGACAGGGAGAGAACCCAGGGGTCCTGGCTCCACCGCCCCGCCCCGGGGGACAGTGTCTTTGCGCCCGACCCGCTGACCCCAAAGCCATCGGGCTGAGCCGACTGATCCGGGCTGAGCTGGTGCTGGGCTCCCGTGCGCCGGGCGGGGAAGGGTGGGCAGTCGGCCGCAGCCCAGTGCCCAGGGGCCTTCGCCCAGCCAGCCGCCCTCCTGCTGGGCTGGGCCTGGTGCTGATCGGCCCTCAGCTGGCCCCGTCTGCCGCCTGCTGGGGATTAGGGGTGCCAGAGTCCTGGGGCTCAGTACGGTGTCTGTCCCCCCCTCACATCATCCATCTGTCCATCCATCTTCACACACATCCTTCTCTCCATCCGTCCGTCCACCCCTCTATGCGTCCGTCCACCCCTCTATCCATCTGTACCTCCACCCTTCTATCCATCCATGCCCACACACCTCCTCATTTGTCCCTCTATCCATCCATTCACCCACCTGTCCATCCCCACACTCGCCCCTCCACCCACCTGTCCATCTGTCCATCCCCATATGTGCTCCTCCGTCCATCCCCATCCATCCCTCTCCACACACTCCCCAGATCCGTTCCTCGCTCCTCCTCCTAGCCCCCCACTCACCCCTCCAAGTGTCACTTTGCTTAGGAATATAATACCTTGGTGTCTTACAATGTAAATCTTCAAAAATGAGGAGCCCGCTGGCACCTTAAAGACGAACAGATTTATTTGGGCCTAAGCTTTCGTGGTGAATACCCCACTTCTTCAGATGCAAGTGCAATGTAAATCCTGTGCCACCCCCCCACCCAGGATACCCAACCCCTGCGCCCCACCCCAGAGGGGTTGCATCCCAGCACCAGGCGAGGGGTCCCTGTATACCCAGCCCTCGTGCCCCACCCCAGAGGGGCCATATCCCGGCGCCTGGTGACAGCACGAGCTGTGATCACCACTCTGTTTGGTGCAGGTGATTCTGGACCAGTTCAACCCCGGCCTGAGGAGTTTTGTCACAATGGGGAAGAGTTACCAACGAGCGCTCTCAGGTAAACTGCGATTTTCCCACGGACCCCCCCAGCCCATCCAGCCAGCGCCCCCCAGAGGGGAAAGGCCCCATGCCCCATTCCCTGCTCTCCTGAGCCAGCCGGTCCCCGCCCTAGGGCCGGGTGGGAGCCGGCACCCCCTAGAGGGGAAAGGCCCCGTGTCATTCACTCCCTCCTGCTCTCTCTGTCCCAGCAGGGGTGACCGTAGCGGCCAAGGGTTATTTCGACGCCCTGGTGAAGCTGGGGGAATTGGCCAGCGACAGCCAAGGGTCCAAGGAACTGGGTAGGTGATACCTGGGGGACATGGCTGTGGGACGGGGGGAGAGGGCTGGGCCGTCTGCTCCAGGTCAGACCCACAGGCCCATCTACCCCGGTGTCGTGCCTCCTCCCTGCCCGCCTGGATCAGAACTATGGGCCCATCGCCCCTGGCATCCCACCCCACCCCCCAGGTCTCCGTGCTGGGGACTTCCTGCTGCAGGAAGCTGCTGTTTTCTTGCTGGAAGCTGTGATTTCCTCCTGTCTCCCCTCCCCTGTCCGGGGCTGGGCCGGCCTTGCAGACTGGGTGGGTGGGGGGGAGATATGTGTCCTGAGAAATGCCCCCCCCCACCACCACTACCATAGCTCAAGGCCCAGCCATCCCCTTTCCTCTCCCTTCGCCTTGCCTAGCAACCCCGCCCCCCCCGCCCAAGGTTCCAGTTTTAACCCTTCACGGCCTGGGGGGCCAGCTCCCCACACACACCTTTCAACCCCCACACACACTTTGCTGCCGGAGCCCAAATTCCCCCTCCCCCAGGGTGTGACCTGCCTGGGCGGAGGGAAGGGGGAGTTGAGAGGAGGGGGGGGCTCAAATAGGTGGTGGGGTGGAGTGAGGGGGACTGAAGGGGGGATTGTGTCCCTCTGCCTCTGGGGGAGGGGGCCATGGGGCACATTGGGGGCGTGGGCCAATGGGGTGCACACTGAGGGGCATGTGTCATGCATGGGGGGTTGTGTGCACAATGGGGGGGGTGCAAGCAGGGGTGTGTGCGGCTGGTGAGCAGCGTGTGAAGAGGGGTGTGCGGGGGTGTAGCCAGTGGGGAGTGTCTGGGAATTTGGAGAGGGGATTGTGTGTGTGCAAATCGTGGCAGGTGTGCACAGGTTGTGGGTGTGAGGGTGCGCGCAGATGGCAGGAACCGGGAGGCGGGCGTGCACCAACGGGTGCGAGTTGTAGGGCAGCGTGGGGGTGACGGCAGGAAGCCTCCGCATTGTGTGACCCGGTGGGGGAGGGAGCCGGCCCCACTCGCCACGGCTAGCGTGTGAGCACCGGGCATGTGTGTTAACGGGTGGGGGGCCCTGCTCACACACATGTGGAAATGGCGCACGAGGCCTTGGGTGTGGGGGGCAGACGGGGATGGGCCCTTTCGCCACGTGGGGGATTATGGGATGGATTAACGCTCCCCCATCCCCCCATATACACACACCTGTCGTTTCCCCGTCCCGCAGGGGACACCCTGTTCCAGATGGCTGAGGTGCATCGGCAGATCCAGGTGCAGCTGGAGGAAACTGTGAGTATCTCCCTCCCGCCCCCCATCGCGTTATCTCTTCCCCCCCCCCACCCATCGGTTCCCCTCCCCAGCTAGCTCCCCACCTCCCCAAAGCCCTGGGGTGCCTCCCACCCAGCCCTGCTGCCTTCTCAGTCCCCCCCCACCCACGAGACCCCCCCTGCACCCAGAACTTTTCATTCCCGGAGAACAGTCGGGGGCGGGGATGGGACCCTGCATTCTCAGCCGAGGCCGGGGTGGGGGGGCGGGATACCAGGGGAGGAGGGGGATACCAAGGGGGTTGGGATGACATGGGGGGGGATATCATGGGGGAGATGTACTGAGGGGGAGGGGATCCCTCGTTCACTGTCCCCCTCTCACCCTCCCTCCCACTCTGTGCCCCCCACCCTCTTGTAGCTGAAGCTTTTCCATTCGGAGCTGCTGGCCCAGCTGGAGCAGAAACTGGAGCTGGATGTCAAGTACCTGCTGGTGAGAGTCCCCCCCACATAGGGTTCTCCCCAGCCCTGCAGGGCCCCCCCAGGTCGGTGCCTGCCCCTTCCTGCTCCCCCCCAGTGCCTGCCAGCCCCCCTGCACCCACCCCGGTGCCCCTGACTCCCCCCAGCCCGGCATCTGCCCCTCCCTGCGCCCCTATCCACCCAGCCCCCCCATGTGACCCCCATTTTCCCCTTTTCAATTTCCCACCCCCACCAAAGGGTTCTGCCCATTGTGGCCGTGAAAGGCGTTTGCCCTCTCCCTGCCTCAGTTTCTCCAGTTGCACCATTCATAAGTTCAGACACAGATTGGGGTCCCTGTCACACTGGGCACTGCACTCACCCGCACTCCCCCCCGCCCCAGTGACTCGGGACTGGGGGAGGTCCCCATCACGGTGCATAGAACCCCTCTGACTGAGATCTGTGGGGGGGTCCCTTTCGTACCGGGCGCTGCGCAGACCGAGCTGGCCCTGCTGAGGGTCCTGGGAAGTCCCGTTCCCTCTCTCCCCACCCCCATCCTGCCCCATCCCTGGGGCGAGCTGACTCCCCCCCCCCCCCCCGCCCCGCTCTCCGGCGCCCCCGCAGGCTACCCTGAAGAAGTACCAGAGCGAGCACCGGGCCAAGGTGGAGGCCATTGAGAAGTGTCAAGCTGAGCTGAAGAAACTGCGCAAGAAATGCCAGAGCAGCAAGAACCCCCAGAAATATGGGGACCGCGAGGTGCAGGTGAGGGGGGGAGTAGGGCTGGGGTGGGGGGGACCATGAGGTGCAGGGGAGGGGGGACTGCAGGGGGAGGGGCTCTCAGGGGGGTGGGAACCAGGAGGTGCTGGGGATTGTAAATCTGGTTGGGGGGGCACTTAATCTGGGAGCAAGGTCTGGGATAGGGGTCTGCCCCACAGGGCCGAGACCCTCCCCTTCCCCCCACGTGGTGATGTTCCTGCCCAGTCGCACGCGCGGCGTGCTCGGCCTGGGCTAGACAGTAGCGGAGACGCCCCGAACACGCCCACACGTGAGCCCGACACGCTCGAACACGGGGAAATGCTAACACGCGTGGCACACACGGTGTCCCCGGGCTGGAATGTCACGAACGGTACACACGTGACAGACACCCGCGGGCACATGCCTGGGCACACAGACACTGGCCAAAGCCTCGATACCTCCAGGGCTGGCTGATTTGGGGGGGGGGGGGCAGAAAGGACCCCAGGCCTCAACCCCCCTCTCCCTCAGCCCCCCAAGGGGCCCCTGGCAGCTAGGGGCAGAGCCTGGGAAAACAATGGGATCGGCCAGGCTCCCGCAGGAGACACGGGGCCGTCACGTCCGGCCGGAAACCGCAGCAGGATGTCCCGCTGGAGGCGGGGGGAGGCCAGGAGCTCCCCCACCCTGCTCTCTCTGGCGCCCCCGGCGGGCAGAGGCGGGCGTTGCTGTCTTGGGAACGGTGGCTCGGGGCGCGGGCGGGATCGGGGACCTGAGGGGCTCGCGGCTCCGAAGGGTTTTAACATTCTTTGGCCAGCTGGTGCCTGGGACCCTAATCTCCATAAGGGGCTTTGGGTGGATGGACTCGGGGGGGGGGGGGGTGGAACGCGCACGGGGGGGGGGAACGCTGGGGAGGGCGCCCACATGGGGGGCGGGAGGAGACACAATTGGGGGATGCAGAGTGGAAGAGTTTCTGGCAAGTGTCTCCTGGGCCCCCCCCGTAGTTCTCTGCCCCCCCCTCGCCTCTGCTCAAGGGTCCCCCCCACTCACTCCCCTCCCCCCTCATTAGCATGTCAGGCGCCTGCTCCCTCCCCTCCCCCCTGCCCACTCCCCGCCTTGGCTCCGGAAGGCCCCCCTTTGTCAACACCCATTGCCTGGGGAACCATTACTTCGGGGTCACGGCCCCCATTCTACAGGCTGCCAGGGGGAGGAGGGGGAAGTGGGGCAGGCAAGGGGGGGATGGTGGTAACCCTTCCCCCCAGCAGGGCCTGCTACGGGGAGGGGGGGGCAGAGGAGTGTGTGGGGGGTGTTAACCCTTCCCCCACCGAATCCAGTCAGGGCCTGATGGGGGGTGTTATTTGGGGTCCAATGTGGGGTGTCAGGGTCTGATGTGGGGGGGTTTTGGGGTCTGATATGGGGTGTCCAAGTCTGATGTGGGGTGTTATTTGGGGTCCAATGTGGGGTGTCAGGGTCTGATGTGGAGGGCTATATGGGGTTTGATATGGGGTGTCAGGCCAATATGGGGGGGATTATCTGTGGTCGGATGCAGGGTTGATATCTAGGCCTAACTCTGAGGTGGTGTGGTCTGATATAGGGGTGATTCAGCCCCCCCCCCATGCTCTGATACCCCCTTGGGACTCTTTTCTCCCCCCGCTCCCAGTATGTGGAGGTGATGAGCGCCAAGCAGAGCGAGCTGGACTGCTTTGTGGCGGAGGGATACAAGGGCGCCCTGACCGAGGAGCGCCGCCGGTACTCGTTCCTGGTGGATCGCCAGTGCGCTGTGTCCAAGCACTTCGGTGCCTACCACGCCAAGGTGAGCCGCCCTCCACGTATCCCTCCGCCCCCAGGGGCGGGGCACGCACACGCCGTATCCCTCCGCTCCGTATCCTTCCACCCGCTGGGGAGGGGGCCGCACGCCCCGTATCCCTCCGCCTGCTGGGGAGGGGGCTTTCCACCCCATATCCTTCCGCCCCGTATCCCTCCACCCACTGGGGTGCGGTCACGCACTCCCCATATCCTTCCGCCCCGTATCCCTCCGCCCCCACAGGCCCCATGTTAGGGGGACGGAGGGGGGAGTGGTGTAGTTCCTACGGGGCCCTGGTTGGGGGTCGCGCTGTGGGCTGGGTGGGGGGGAGTGGGAGCCCCGTAGAGGGTGGGGGGTCCCCTGGGTGGGCACGAGGGGCAGTGTAGGCCCCCCCATTCCGCCCCCCTCACTCATCTCTGCCCCCCCCCCGCAGGTGAAGGAGCTGCTGGGGGCCAAGCTGCCCGGCTGGCAGCAGTCCTGTGTCCAGCCCACCCGCCTGCCTGACCGCGCTCTGGCCCTGGTGAAGCAGACGGCCAACAGCCCCGCCGCGCCCGCCGTCTCCGACCCGCTGCCCGCCCCCCAGCCCCTGGAGGTGCCCCCGGAGCTGGCGCCCCTGCTGGGGGGTGGGGGGCTGGCCCTCAACCACGTATGTCTCTGCCCATGGGGGAGGGCCGCTGTCGCCAGGGGGTGGGGCCCCTCGGGAGAGACCCGGACTCCTGGGTCCCCTTCCGAACAGGGATGGTGACTTGGGGACTACGGGAGAGGGGTAGGGTCCCCCTGGCAGTGACCTTGTGTCCTGGGTCCTCATCCCCAGCTAGGTCAGTGACCCGGACTCCTGGGTTCATTCTGCAAGGGCAGAGCCCCTGGGAGGGTGACTCGGACTCCTGGGTCCCCAAGCCCAGCTGGGTGGGTGTCCCTGATCCCCAGTGAGCAGAGCCCCTCCCCCTGCCCCCCGTCTCTCCTTCCGCAGCGCGTCTCACTGCAGGAAGCGACTCCGCTCCCCAACGGCGACTCTCACCGCACCCGGGGCTCCCGTGACCTGGGGCCCCCGCCTGCCAGAGAGCCCCTCACCGTCCCGCTAGGCCTGCCGGCCCCACAGCCTGCACCAGCCACGCAGACCCCCCCGCCGCCCAGGGCCAGCGACAGCTACTCCTGTACCCTGCCCATCCCCCGCAAAGCCTCTGCGGAGACCCGCCTCGCCACGCTGAGTAAGTGCCCGTCGGTGCCCCTCTCTGCCGACCCGCAGCACCTGCTAGCCCACCCCTTCCCCCCCCCGAGCCCTGCCGGTGCCCCTCACTCCCGACCCGCAGCCCCCTGCTAGCCCAGCCCTGGTCTGAGCTGGCCAGCTCAGACACATTTGCTACTGGAGCTGAGCCTGACCGGCTCGTCTCACATGTGCCCCCAGATGGGGGTGTCCCAGCCCCCACTGGTTTCCAGCCTCCCTGGCACATGATGCAGGCTCCGTGGGGGGTTGTTGGGGGGGGAGGGTGACCCCATTCTGGGGGGAAACTGCCCCACCCCCACCCCCCAGGTCTGGGCGCTTTGCCCAGACTAAGCCAATTAACAGTCCAGCGCTGAGCGGCTTGTTCAGATTTCATACCCTGGGCTGACCCGGCCGGGGCTGGGAGGGAGATTGGGGCTGTGTGGGGGGGCTCTGCGGGTTCCTGGCCAGTTACACACAACGCGCCCCCCCCCCCCGAGTTCTCCTCTCCCCCCCAATCCAGCTTTTATCTCTATCCGCTGGTGCCCCCCCAGGCTCCTTGTGTGTACCCTGGGACACCCCAAGCCCCACCCGATGCCCCCCTATAAGACCCCCCACCATATATCCCCCGTGTGCCCCTTTCTCAGTCTCTTGGCCCCTCTCCAGGGGCAGGAAGGCAAGGAATCCCCAGCCTGACCTCCCCCCTTTTCCCAACCCCCCAGCAGAGAACAGGACCCTGCCGCGGAGTGGGGTGTGGGTCGAGCGGCGCCGGGTGCAGGCCGTGTTCTCCCACGCACCCGGTGAGAGCAGCACCCTGCTCAACTTCCAGGAGGGCGACGTCATTGCGCTGCTGGTGGCCGAGGCCCGGGACGGCTGGCATTACGGGGAGAACGAGGCCACGCACATGTGAGCGCCCCCCTCCCCTTGTTAACCATTAGCCCTCTCCCCTCCCCTCCTCCCACAGCTGGGGAGAGAACCCAGGAGTCCTGGCTCCCAGCCCCCCCTCACCACTAGCCCCCACTCCCCTCCCAGACCCGGGGATGATGGATCCGGGCTCCTGGGTTCTAAGTCCCTGGTCCAGATCCGGGTCCCAGCGGGGCCCTCGCAGGCCTCTGTGGGGCTGTGACCTCAGCCGCCCTTTGTGGGGAGGGTCTGGGCATGTCTCCATCCTGCCTGACCTCTGCTCCCCCCACCCCCAGGAAAGGCTGGTTCCCCTTCTCGTACACCCGTCCCGTCCCCCCTGCCGAGACCCCTGAGAAACCCCATGGCAGGTGAGCTGGGGGCTGGGTGTGCCACGTGGTGGGAGGGGAGAGGAGGAGTAGGGGGCGACAGATGGAGGAGGCTGGGGTTGGGACTGGGGAGGCAGGGGGCTTGGAGGGGATGGGGGGAAATGGGGGGCTGGCAGTGGTACTGAGCTGGGGGACGAGAGGGGGCAGAGCGGGATGGGGAGAGGGTGGTGCTGAGCTGGTGGCAGGATGCGGGGCACAGAGAGGGGGAGATTGGGGCTGGGGGGAAGTATTTTGGGGGGACCTGTGCAGCTCCAGGGCCTCGTTTTAACCCCCACCTCTCCTCCCCCTTCCCCCCCCCAGTTTTCCCCTGAGCAAACTCAACAGCTGCAGCACGGGGACCCTGGACAAAGCGGGGTGCGTGGCCCCCAGCCCGGAGGGGGGCCATGGGGGGGACGCCTTGCGCTACACCCCCTCCCCCCGCCCCAGCACCTTCCGCCAGCGCCCCTACAGCATGATGAACCCTGACCTGTCACAGGTGAGTTGGGGGAGGAGCTTCCAGGTGAGTGCCCCCCTGCTGGCCACTTGCTGGACCTGGGGTCCCTCGGCTCCTCTCGGGGCACAGCTCCTCCCCCCAGTCTCCTCCCCCCTGAAGCCTGCTGCCCAGCCTTGAGCGTGCCCCGACCCTTGAGACCCCCCCGCTCCCCTCCGCGGCACCCAGCCACCCCTCCAGGGGCAGTAGCCCTCCGGAGCCGCTCCATTGCAATGGCCGGGCACTTCGCCTCGATGACCCTCCGTGGGTGGCGCTTGGCCTGCCCGCCCCCAGGGTGCCAGCCAGGCCGGGGGCGCAGGGGGCCGGCAGCATGGCACCGAGGCAGGGAGCGCATTGGTCGGTTGTCCAGTGCCACCAAATTGCCACCAAGGGGGTCCCACTGAGGAACCCCCCCCCACATTCTTCTGCAGGCCCCTCTGCCAGCTGCCATCTGGGGGCAAGTGTGTGTATTGCAGGGCCAGCCTGGTGACTGCCACGTGTCCTGCCCCCTGCAACCCCCCCCTCCAACCTCACCTTCCGGCTAATGTGATTCTCTCCTTCCTCTTCCCAGTTAGCGAACGAATTTGGGAGCCCCCTGAACTCCTCCCCGTCCAGGTGAGAGCAGCGAGGCCCCCCACCCATCAGGATCCCCCCCCCCACGGGAACTAGCACCTGGATTTATCCCCCCTACAACTGCCATGGAGGCCCCATGACCCCTGCCCTCTCTCTCTCTCTCTCTCCCCCCCCCCCCCCCCCAGGTCTAACCCCTTCGCTCACGTCAGGCTGAAGCGGACTGTGACCAATGACCGCTCGGCCCCGCTGATCCAGTGAGGCCCTGAGGGCGCCCGCCTCGCCCGCCGACAGCCCCCTGGGGGAGAGATGCCAGGAGCCCCCCCCCCCCCGCTCAGGAAGGACTCAGGAGCTGGCGGGGGCCTCCCCCCCAAATGCAGCCTGCAGCTCTCTCTAGTGGCTGCTTTGCAGAAGAGCATCCCAAAAGCCAGGCCCCGTATTGCGCAGCGGCCGGGGAGGGGAGGGGGTCGGGGTTCGAATCCCGCCGGAGATGCCTGGAGGGGGAGGCAGGAACGGAGCTGGGCCCTGGGGAGCCAGTGTGTGTGGGGGTGGGGGAAGGGAGAGAGAAGGGAGGGGGAGAGGCTGCCCCCCAAGACAGAAATGCCTCCTGAGGGCTCTGCCTGCCCTAAAGCGACCACTTCTATGGGCTACGTGTGTATCTGTCCATCCCCCCGTGCACCCCTCTATCATCCGCCTACACACATCCATCCCCTCTGTCTACCCCCCATGCGCCCATCCATCTGTTTGTCCTCCTGTGCACACATCCGCCCCCCTGCCCTCCCACCTATCCATCGGTCCCAGCTCCCCCAGGGGGGCTGCTGTGCCCTAGCTTTTCGCCAGTCCTTCGGAGCAACCCGTCAGTGCCAGGCCCCGTGCCCTTCCCCCGTTCAGAGACTGAGCCCCTGGGCTCCAGCCCCCCTGCTTCCTCCCGGGAGCTCTGCCCAGCTGGCCCGCCCGAGCCAGCCGCTGGGGGGAGCCCCTCACCCTCTGCAGTGCCCCCTGGCAGCGCTGCCCGGATGTGGGGAGCCCCGAGGTTCGCCACCCACCGCCGCCTCGGCCCATTGTCCCTGCAGGGCTCCAGGCTGGAGCGTCCCCTCCTTGGGGGTTAATTGTCCAACATGTAACTGGGGCAGGTGGCTAATGGGAGGCTGGTTTTTAAGCCCAGCATCAATGCCAGGCCCACAGGGTGAAACTCGAGGGCAGAGCAGAAGGCGCTGAGAGGTGGGGGAAGGCGGGTCAGTGGGGAAGGGAAATCCCTCTCTCGCCCAGCGGCTGGAATCCGAGGGGGGCACCTGACATGTGGCCAAGGGGGCGGGTGGGTCTAGCGTCCTTGGACAAGGCTCTGAAGCAAAGCAGGCCGGGCCCAGGGGGAAGGGGGCTGGTGGTGCAGTGGCTGGTGAAAAGACAGGAGACAAAGGGGAAAGGGGCCGTTTTCAGACCGGAGCACGGTCGAGCGGGGGGGTCCCCCAGGGGTCTGCGCTGTGCAGCGTACTCAGAAAGGCAAAAGGGGCGAACGCTGAGCGAACACGTGCAGACGAGACAAAATGACTCCGGATCATTAAGTCCAAAGCGCCCGGTGAAGAGCCCCCCAAAAGATCTCACAGACAGGGGGACGGGGCGTTGATAAATGCGACGTGGGAAACCGTTGTCCCAGCCGTACCCACGTGAGGAAGGGCTCTAGAGTTTCCGAGACAGAGATGGTGGAGTCAGGATCGGTCGCAGCAAACGCCACATAAGAGGAGGCTGGGGACCACGAGGAAAGGGGGGAGAATCGGACCGACAATACCCTAATGCCGCTCTATAAACTGAGGGCGCGCCCAGCCCTTGAATTCGGCAGGCAGTTCGGGTCGCCCCAGCTCCAAAGAGATCTGTTAGCGTTGGGAAAGGTGTGGAGAAGGTCAGAGAAATGATGTGGGGCTGGCACAGCTTCTGGCTGAGGAGAGATGAAAAGGACGGGCACTGTTCAGGTTGGGGGAGAGACGGCGAAGGGGGGATGTGAGAGAGGGCTGTGAAATCGTGACGGGGATGGAGCTGGGGAACAGGGACGTGCTATTTACCCCTTCACATGAGGCGAGAACCAGGGCTTAGCAGATGAAATGACCAAGCAGCAGGTTGAAAACAAACCAAGGGCAGCCCTGTCAACCTGGGGAACTCCCTGCCGGGGGATGCTGGAAAGGGCACAAGTTGAACAGGGTTCGAGAGTGGGTCCAGCACTGGTGGGGCAGGGAGGCAACCCAGGCTCTGGGTGTCCCTAAACCTCTGCCTGCCCGAAGCCAGGAGCGGTCGATGGGGTGCTTACGCGACACCTTGTTCTGTTCCTTCTCCGTGACGCACCAGGCTCCGGCCACTGGTGGCAACAAGCCACTGGGCCGGCGGGACCTTTTGTTGGCCCCAGCGCTGCTGTTCTTCTGCGGGGGCCCATTGGCTATGTGGTTCCTCCGTCGATCGGGGTCGCTTCCAGCTGCCCTTTTAACACCCCGTTCACCCCACCCTCTGCGGTCCGTGGCCCCACCCCCATGGCGCCGGCTCTGTAACCCTTCGGCCCCCACAGGGGAGCAGCGCGAAGCACAGAGGGAAACATGGGTCTCAAAAATATTACAGCAAATTCCCATTTCCTCATGCCATCCATCAATATGATCATAGGTATGTTTCCGTCTTCCACCCCACACCCCCTCTATCCATCCATCCCTGTCTCTATCCATCCGTTTTCCCCCCCACCCCCTTATTCATCCATCCTCCACCCCCCTGTATCCATCCCCCAACCCCTCTATCTATTCATCCATCCATCTTCCCCCCAACCCCTCTATCTATTCATCCATCCCCCACCCCTGTATCTATCCATCCATCTTCCCCCCACTCCCTTATTCATCCATCCCCCACCCCTGTATCTATCCATCCATCTTTGCCCCCAACCCCCTAATTCATCCATCCCCCACTCCTGTATCTATCCATCCATCTTTCCCCCACTCCCTCATTCATCCATCCCCCACCCCCCTGTATCCATCCCCCAACCCCTCTATTCATCCCCCAACCCCGTATCTATCCATCCATCTTCCCCCACTCCCTTATTCATCCCCACCCCCCTGTATCCATCCTCCAACCCCTCTATTCATCCATCCATCTTTCCCCCACCCCTGTATCTATCCATACATCCCCAACCCCTCTATCTATTCATCCACCCCCGCCCCTTTATCTATCTATCCATCCATCTTCCCCCCACTCCCTTATTCATCCATCCCCCACACCCTTGTATCCATCCATCCCTTCTTCCACACCCCCTCTGTCCATCCCCTGCCCCCTCTATCCATCCATCCCAGCACACCCCGCTCTATGTCCAGCCCTCTCCAGCTGACACAAGTTGCCTGGGGTGGGAACAACCCATGACACCCTGAAAAGTGCCTTGTCCGTTCCTAGCCCCACAGCTGGGGGGGGGGGGGTGCTGAGCCCTATAACCCCTCTTCTTCTCCCCCGCCCCAAGACGATGGCTGGAGAATGCTGTATTCAGAACTGCATCAAACGGAACCATGGATGACCCCCGCTCCTGGGAGGAGGGCAGCACCCCCTGCTGGGCACATGGGGGGGCAGCACCAGGCTGTGAGCTGGGGCGGGGGGTGGTGGCTGTTAGAGCCTTGATGCTGCTGTGGGAATTACACCTAGACTGATATTAAACTGCATGTGTGTCTGGCTGTCCCTGGCGCCCCCTGCTGGAGGGGCCGGCTCCTGTACTCTGTGTGTGTCACTGGAGCCCCCTGCTGGAGGGGCCGGGTCCTGCGCTGTGTGTGTGTGTGTGTGTGTGTGTGTGTGTGTGTCCCTGGAGCCCCCTGCTGGAGGGACTGGGTCCTGCGCTCTGTGTGTGTGTGTCTGGCTGTCCCTGGTGCCCCCTGCTGGAGGGGCTGGCTCCTGTGCTCTGTGTGTGTCACTGGAGCCCCCTGCTGGAGGGGCCAGGTCCTGCGCTGTGTGTGTGTGTGTGTGTGTCACTGGAGCCCCCTGCTGGAGGGGCTGGGTCCTGCGCTCTGTGTGTGTCCCTGGTGCCCCCTGCTGGAGGGGCCAGACCCAGCGCTGTGTGTATGTCCCTGGCGCCCCCTGCTGGAGGGGCTGGGTCCTGTGCTCTGTGTGTGTGTGTGTGTGTGTCCCTGGTGCCTCCTGCTGGAGGGGCCAGGTCCTGCGCCGTGTGTGTCCCTGGCGCCCCCTGCTGGAGGGGCCAGACCCAGCGCTGTGTGTATGTCCCTGGCGCCCCCTGCTGGAGGGGCTGGGTCCTGTGCTCTGTGTGTGTGTGTGTGTGTCCCTGGTGCCTCCTGCTGGAGGGGCCAGGTCCTGCGCCGTGTGTGTCCCTGGCGCCCCCTGCTGGAGGGCCGGGCCCTGCACTGGGGTGGGGGGGGATGATGCTGGAGCAAGCCCTTCAGTAGCTTGGACAATGCTGCCTCTGACCCCACCATTAATAAAGTTTAATTTAAATCCCTCCCCAAGGCCCCGCTGAACTGGGGGGGAGGGGCAGTGCTGCCCCCCAGTGGCTGGGAGAACTGCCCCACACGGGGGGGGAGCATCTCATGGCTGGCCTGTCTCATCCCTTCTACCTGCTCTGTTTGTCCAGCCATCTCCCCCCCACCGCCATCCTCCCATGTACCTCTCCCCATCCATCCTTCCCCCCACCGACCACTCCATCCTGCTATCCCGTACAATGCAGCACTCGATCCCTCCATCTATCACCCCACAGCCTCCTTCCCCCCGACACACACACACCTCGCCCCCCCCAACCCCACCGCCATCCATGGGGCCAGCCTCCCCTCGTGACTCGCTCGCTCGTGGGTAGAAGACACTTGGGGTTTAATATTCACTCTTTTTTAATCTCTTTGTTCATTTTGGCAAATTGGGAGCAGGCCAAAGGTCTACCCATGCCCACGTATTTACAGACCCGGCCTTGTTTGGCAGCTGCCTGGCAGGTGGTGGTGGGGGGGAGGCTCAGTTCTTGCCGGAGGGGGCAGGTGGATCCCCCCATTAATGACAAACTGATCCAGAAACGCACGCTGGAGGGTGCCGGTGAAATCCAGGCCCAGCCCCACTTCTGACACAGGCCAGATAGGGCTAGGCGAGGGGGTGGGACCCATGGGTAAAGGGACCTGTGGGTCTGATCCAGGGGGGCAGGACACCAGGCTAGAGGGACCCATGGGTCTGATCTGTGAGGGAGGGGGCAGGATACCAGGTAGATGAGCCCCCTAGAGGGGACAGGCCCCATGTCCCATTCCCTGCCCCCCTGAGCCAGCCAGTCCCCCCCACCCTGGGGCCAGATGGGAACTGGCAGCCCCTAGAGGAGAAAGGCCCCGTGCCCCATTCACTAAGCCTATCCCCATGCACCCCAATGGGCAAAAGGCAGGGGATGGGCCCCACGGACTAGAAAATATACCCAGTGAACCTCCCCCCAAAAGGCTCCGTAACCCCCACGGACTCCATCAGGCTTCCAGTATAAACCGGTGGTGCCCCCCTCCAGTGCTGGTAATAACCCAGCAGCCGCCTGCCCCAGCCCAGGGTCTCCACTCTGCCCCCAGTACAAACCAGTGAGCGTCAGACCTTTTAAGACAAACCATCTCCCCCCACCCCGCCATTCCCCCTCCCCGCTGAACCCCAGGGCCCCAGCTGATCTCCAGCTGCAGGGGAGGGATGCTCCATTGTCAGTGCATATCCTGGGGGGGGCACGAAGGTGTCTGTATAATGATGCCCCCCCTTGTCCATCCATCAGGTGGCATCTGGTGCCAGGAGGGGGAAGCAGGTGGCAGCTTTGGGGCCTACATTCCACAGTGTGGGGGGGGGCAGGGCTGGTTGGGGGGATCCCCCCATTGCTGATGAGTTATGGGGCATTTCCCCTCTTTGCTTGAGACACAAAGAGTTAAACAAACCGGTAGGGGGACCAATTCCAGGCCCCACCCCCACGCCGCTCGGGGGGGGCAGTCTGAGCCCCCCACCCTGATACGTAGCTCGCTGCCCCTCGAGGTTGGATTTGGCACAAGACAGAGTTTTGACAGCAAACTCCCATGTGGGGGGAAGCGGGCAGAGAGGGGCACGGTGGGGCAGGTACATTCAGCAGCCTGGCTGCCCCCCTGCTTGCCCCCCATCGTCTGAGTCACTGTAAAAAAATTGTCCAGAGAAGCAAGTTCTTGTGGGGGCACTCGTGGGGGGAGGGATCCCCAAAATGCTGGCTGTGCCCCCCCCCCGTCCGGGCGCCAATGGGTCTCTGTGTCCCCCAGAACATGCCTGGCGCATGCGTCTCCCAGCCAGGCTAGCGGGTGAGGGTGTGGGGGGGGCGATGGCCTGGCGCCACCCCATGGAGTCCCTGATTGCTGCGGGGTGGGTCCCCGCCTCAGTTCTCAATGGGGTCTGGAAGAGAAAGAGAGAGGAGCAGAAGGACAGAGCAAAAAGACCTGGATCAGCCCCACACATCCATCACCCCAATACCCGGCCCCTTCCCTGTGCCTGGATCAGCCCCATGAGCCCATCTACCCCAGTATCCTGCTCCTCCCTGCCCCGCTGGATCAGGCCCATGGGCCGGGCCCATCACCCCAGTATCCTGCCCTCTCTCTGCCCCTGGAGAGCCCCATGGGCCCATCTACCCTGGTATCCCGCCACCTCCCTGTCCCTGGATGAGCCCCAGAGGCCCATCACCCTGGTCTCCCGTCTCACTCACTGGCTGTGGGTGCCAGCTCGGCCTCGCGGGGGGCCAGGTGGGGCTCGAGGGCGGGGGAGACGGTGAAGCGGGAGAAGCGCAGGGCATCCATCAGGCTGGGCTCTGCCCCCTTGGCTGGGAGCAGCACGGGGGGCGGCGTCGGGAGAGCCCCCGAGCTGGGGTCCGTCACCATGGAGACGAAAGATGGGTTCTGGGCCATCAGCGGGAAATCGTCGTCCCATTCAAAGCTGCCACCTGGGGGCAGGGGGAGGGTGAGAGGGGGCATGGCCAGCCCCACCCCACTGCCAATGGCCCCTCCTCAGGGAGGGATCCCCACTGGGGCCGATGCCCCTTTTCCCATTGGTCAGCACAGCTGACCTCCCCTCCCCTCATTGGTCAGCATGGCTGATGTCCCCTCCCCAATTGGTTAGCACGACCAACGCCCATTTCCCCATTGGGCAACGCAGCCAAGGCCCCCTTCCCCATGGATATGTGGCCTGTGTCTAGCCCCCCATCTCCTCCTGAGCCCCCTTGAGCACCCACCTCCCCCTGGCTCAGCTTCCTCCCCTGCCGCCCGCCTCGGGGCACCCTGGCAAGGGGGTGTCGACCGGCAGCTGCTGTTTATGGCTGTATGCAAATGAGCATTTTAAAATAAGCAAATGAGCCCATGAAATAATTGGTGATGGCTTAGCCCCGCCCACCCCCCGGGGAGCCATTCCCACCCCCGTGGTGCGGGGCTCACTGAATCCGTCGGCGGGCGGGAAGGCCTCGAGGGCAGGCTGCCCCGTGGGGCCCTGGGTGGTGCCGCCCTCGCCCTCCGGGCCGCTCTGTGAGCTCAGCTCGTTGGTGGGTGTCTCCTAGGAGCAGACGGGGGAAAATTAATCCATAGGCCCCGCCCACTCCCGGCCTGGCCCCGCCCCCTTCCCATCACCCCCACACCCATGGCTCCTCCCTATTCCTTATCCCCGCCTTCCTACACCAGACTCGACCTGCTGCTCTCCTGGCCCCGCCCTCCATCCCCCAGGCCCCGCCCACATCCCTGAGGCCCCACCCACATCCCCAGGCCCGGCCCACATCCCCAGGCCCCGCCCTCACCTGGTCAAAGAGGTAGACGGTGAGGTCGTCGAAGAAGGACACCACCGTGCGTTTCCGGTCCAGCCCCAGTCCCCCGGGCCCCGCCCACATCCCCCGGGCCCCGCCCTCACCTGGTCGAAGAGGTAGACGGTGACATCGTCGAAGAAGGACACCATCTTGCGTTTCCGGTCCAGCCCCAGTCCCCCGGACCCCGCCCACCTCCCCCGGGCCCCGCCCTCACCTGGTCGAAGAGGTAGACGGTGACGTCGTCGTAGAAGGACACCATCTTGCGTTTCCGGTCCAGCCCCAGTCCCCTGGGCCCCGCCCACCTCCCCCGGGCCCCGCCCACCTCCCCCGGCCCCGCCCTCACCTGGTCGAAGAGGTAGACGGTGACGTCGTCGAAGAAGGACACCATCTTGCGTTTCCGGTCCAGCCCCAGTCCCCCGGGCCCCGCCCACCTCCCCCGGGCCCCGCCCACCTCCCCCCGGCCCCGCCCTCACCTGGTCGAAGAGGTAGACGGTGACGTCGTCGTAGAAGGACACCATCTTGCGTTTCCGGTCCAGCCCCAGTCCCCCGGGCCCCGCCCACCTCCCCCGGCCCCGCCCACCTCCCCCGGGCCCCGCCCTCACCTGGTCGAAGAGGTAGACGGTGACGTCGTCGAAGAAGGACACCATCTTGCGTTTCCGGTCCAGCTCGGCAGCCTCCTCGGCCGAGCGCGGGGACTTGAGCAGCCCACGCAGGTTGCGCCCGTCGTCCGAGTCGCTGACCACGATGGGGACGCCCCCGGCGCCCGGCGCCTCCTCGTCCTCCTCCTCCTCGCCCGGCCCCGGTGCCCCCCGCCCGGCCCCCTCCTCCTCCGGCGCCAGCCCCCCGCAGCTCTTCCGCCCCCCCGGGCCGGCGAAGGGCTGCAGGCTCAGCGGGGGCAGCGCCAGAGACAGGCGCGAGACCTTGGCTGCAGGCGGGGATGGGGCAGGGGGAGAGAAGGGGGGGCAAAGGTCAGGGTCAGGGTTGAGAGGTCAGGGTCGCCTCCCCCCCCATCCATCCCTGCCACCGTCCCCGCCGCCCCACACCCCCATCCTCCCTCCTTCCACCCCCCCACACCTCCCTTCCTCTGTCCTCTCACACGGTCCCTCTCCCTGCCCCCAGATGGCACCCCCTTCCCCACCCAGACGGTCCCCATCCCTTCCCCCAGATGGCACCCCCTTCTCCCCAAGATGGTCCCCATCCCTTCCCCCAGACGGTCCCCATCCCTTCCCCCAGATGGCACCCCCTTCCCCCCAAGATGGTCCCCATCCCTTCCCCCAGATGGTCCCCATCCCTTCCCCCAGATGGCACCCCCTTCCCCCCAAGATGGTCCCCATCCCTTCCCCCAGATGGCCCCATCCCTCCCCCCAGACGGTCCCTGCCCCCTCCCTCCGATGGCATCCCCGGCCCCTGGCGTCTCCCCACCTTTGATGTCCTCACTGCCTGGGCTCCCCGCCGTGCTGAAGTCGGAGTGGGGCTGCGGCTGCTCAGACGCCGGGTCGGCCCCCTCGGGGCTGGGGACAGGGGCCTCCCCGCTCAGCTCCGGCGCCCCCTGGCCGTCCAGCTGCCCTTCCTCGCTCTCCGCCCCTTGCTCCTCTTCCTGGGGCAGCCCGCCTGCCGCCTCTCCGCTGCCCCCTTCCTCCTCGTCTTGGGTGCCCTGGGCCCCCTCGGGCTCCAGGGCCCAGAGCCGGATCACGGCCTCCTCCTTGGCAGCTGGGGCCCCGGACGCCGGGGTCCTTGGGTCCCGGTAGCTGCAGAGCAGGTTGCGGGTGATGTTCTCCCGCAGCGACACCAGCAGCTGCTCCTTGCACACCTGCACCACGAAGCCGGCCTCTGTCTTGGCCAGCTGCCCCCCGCCCTGCCCCGCTGCCGGCACCTCCTCCTCCCCCTGGCCCCCCTCTGCCTCGCCGTCCGAAAAACAGGCCAGCCCCCGCCCCACGTCCACCTCCTCCTCCATCCCCGGCGTCGCCTCCGACAGTGTCAGGTCGCTGGTGGACTCCGAGAGGGGCGTGGGGGGCCGCTGGGGGGCGTCCCCTTGGCCGGGCAGCTCCCCGTCCTCTTCCTCCTCGGTCCGCTCCTCGGCCTCCCGGACGAGGAGCTCCGGGGAGAAGGTGCTCTCCGTCTCGTAGCCGCTGTCGGGGAACTTCTGGCCCGGCGAGGAGAAGCGGGAGGCCGGGCTGCAGCCCTCGGAGGAGCTGGCGTTGGAGGGGAGGTCCAGCGAGTCCCCGGAGTCCAGCGGGCCCTTCGGCCGGCCCGCCAGGGCCAGGCCGATCTGGGGGCCGTCCGCGAAGCCGTCCGCAGCCTCGGGCACGATGGCGATGGTCTCCTCGTCGGTGCTCTCCGCCAGCGTGGCCAGGGGCGGGATCTCCACCGGCACGATGGCGCTGCAGCAGGCGGCCGTCAGGCCGGGGAAGGGCGAGCCCGGCGGCCGCCCGGCCGCCCCCCGCTTGGGGTAGTCCTGGAGTTCGTAGCTCACCACGGCCGCGCCCATCAGCGGGTCGTAGAACGCCGAGGGCGGGGGCGGGGCCAGCGGCCCGGCCCCGCCCTCTCCGGCCCCGGGGGGCCCCTCTCCCAGCAGGATGGGGCAGTCGGCCAGGGAGCCCCGCTCCACCTTGAGGGAGGAGTCGTCCTCGGTGCCGTAGCTGTCGCGGTGGGGCCGGGGGATGGGGGCGTGGTTGCTCCAGCCGCTCACGACCTCCCCCCGGCCCGGGGCGCAGCGGCACCGCCCGCCCCGGCTGCAGAGCGGGCAGAGCAGGGGGTTGCGACGCCCGCCCCCCCCGCTGCTGGCGTCCTCCCCGTCCGTGCTGCCGGCTGAGCTCTGCTCCTCCATCAGCGAGGGCTCCCGGTCCCAGGGGGGCGAGGGGCGGAACTCCGAGGGGTCCCCCGCCAGCGTCTCCCCGGCCCCCCGCTCCTCCAGCCCCTCGCAGTCCCAGCCGTGCTGCTGCTCCTGCAGCCCCCGGTACACGTGCAGGAGCGACGCCCCCAGGAAGACGCCCCCTGGCGCCGGCTCCGTCAGCGAGGTCTCCTGGATCTCGGCCCGGAAGGGGTTGGCGCCACGCCCCACCGGCTCCCGGGACGCCGAGATGAAGGGGTTGGTGGCACCGGGGGCCCAGCTGGACGGCCCCTCCGGCAGGAGGCGGCGGCGGGCTGGTGGCGGGGGGCTGCCCCGGCCTGCTTCAATGGGGTCCCAGTCGGAAGGGAAGAGGGGCTCTGGCGGGGAGCCGGGCACCCCGTATTGGCGCTCGTAGACGGGGCTGGGGGTGCAGACAGTGCCCTCGGGCCCTTCCCCGTCCCCGTGCTCCTCCAGCCGGATGTAGTACTCGCTGCTGACCGAGGGGCTGCGGGCGCTAATCACCGGGACCACGCTGGGCGTCTCCAGGCTCTGCCGCGCCGGCGCCTCGTAGAAGGGGTTGGCGCCGGGCACGGCCAGGCCGCCGTTGCTGGAGGGGGCAGCCCCGGCCTTCCAGCGCCCCAGCCGGGCCTTCTCCCACATGTACTCGAAGTTCAGCCCCCGGCTGCTCTCGGTGACCGTCAGGACATCGTCCAGGTCGGCCCCCTGGAAGCCATCCAGCAGCGGGTAGGCCGAGATCTCCTCCGAGCGGCGCCGGCTTGCGGGGGAGGCGGCCGGTGAGCGCTTGGGCTTCAGGGCATTCCAGCGCCACTCGAAACTCTCCTCCGCCTGCGCATGGCAGCGCTCCGTCAGAAGGTAGGTCAGCTGCAGGTGCAGCTCCTCCAGCGTGGGACGCTGTGGCGCCGGCAGCCAGCAGGACTGCATCACCTCGTACCTGCAATGGGAGGGAGAGGGGGCGGTCAGGGCAGGGAGGGATGGAACAGTCAGAGAAGAACAGTCGGAAAACAAACAGCTGGAGAGGTGGAAGAAGCACCGGAGGGAGAGAGAGAGAAGAGTCAGGAATAAGCCAGCTGTAGAGACCGAAGAACAGCCAGAGAGACACAGAAGGACCGGCAGAAAACAACAGCCAGAGAAACAGCTGGAGAGAGGTGAAAGAACAGTCTGAAAACAACTGCCAGAAAGAGACAGAAGAATTGGAAAACAGACAGAGCAGTCAGAAAGTAACAGCCAAAGATACAGAAGAACTGTCAAAAAGAAGCAGAACAGCCAGAAAAAAAACTCAGAGAGAGACAGAAGAACAGGCAGAAACAGAAGAACAGTCGGGGGGGGAAACAGCCTGTCAGAGAGAGACAGAAGAACCGTTGGAGAGAGAGAAAACAGTCAGGAAATAACAGCCAGAGAAGAGAACAGCTGGGAAGAGAGGCAGAAGAACAGTAAGAAAATACCAGCTGTAGAGACAGAAGACCAGTTGGTAACAGAAGACAGAAAAAATCAAGAGAGACAGAAAAAAACAGTCAGAAAACAGCCAAAGAGAGAACAGGCTGAAAATAACAGCCAAAGAGACAGGGAACAGTCAGAAGCATCAGCTGGAGAAACAGAAGTCAGAAAGAGCAAGAGAAGGGAAAACAGCCAGAGACAGAAGAACAGCCAGAAAAAACAAACAAACAGAAAAGTAGAAAGTAAAATCTGTAGAGACAGAAAAACAGTCGGAAACGGAAGAACAGTCAGAAAAACACAGCTAGAGAGAGGGAGGCAGAGGACCATTCGGAAAACAACGGTCAGAGAGAAAGAAGAACAGTCAGAAAACAACAGCCGGAGACACAGAGCAAAGCAGGACAAGATGAAAGGCGAAATGAAGCAGTGATGGGGCCCAGCAACAGCCCAGCCAGGAACCACCCACGGCTGTCAGCGATGGAAGAGCCCGTCAGGCGCACACCGAGTCCGGTGGTCCTCAGCCCTTTGGAGCGGCTGTACCAGGCTAGGGTCATGGCCAGCTAGCTCCCCACAGACCCAGCCGCTTGCTGGGACCTGCCGGGGAGCTGGGGCGGCTGTGGGGCAGGGAGCCAGCGCTCACCAGTAGTCGGAATAGGGCAGCTTCAGGCGTGGCTTGGCCAGCTTCATCTGCTGTTCTTTGATGACGAAGGCGAGAACCTCCTCGTCCGACAGGTGCCGGTAGGGCTGGCTGCCGAATTCAAACAGCTCCCACATCGTCACCCCCAGGGACCTGGGCAAAGCAGGGTTACGGGGTGAGTGCGGGGACCCCTCGCCCGGCGCTGAGATGCAGCTGCTCTGGGGTGAGGCGCGGAGGCTGGGTATACGGGGACCCCTCGTGTGGTGCTTGGATGTGGCCCCTGTGGGGTGGAGTGCAGGGGCTGGGTATACGGGACCCCAGCGCTGGGACGCAGCCCCTCTGGGGTGGGCACATGGGCTGGTTAAACGGGGACTCCTCACCAGTGCTCAGATGCGGCCCCTCTCGGGTGGGGCATGGGCGGGGGTATATGGGAACCCCTCACCTGGTGCTGAGACGCAGCCCCTGTGGGGTGGGGTGTGGGGGCTGGTTATATAGGGACCCCTTGCCCGGTGCTGGGATGCGGCCCCTCTGGGGTTGGGCGCGGGGGCGGGTTAACAGCCACGTAGAACAGGTAGCTCTGAGACAGTGCTCCCGCCAAAGCTTCCCCCTTACTGACCCTTTGCCCCTCAGGCTGGGGGCGGCCCCGGCTGCCCGGGGGCTCGGCAGGGGGCAGAGGGTGCCGGGACACAGTGCGGGACTCACCAGACGTTGCTCTCCTTGCTCTGATCCACCACCACGAGCGTCCCGTGAACTTCGTCCAGCAGCTCCGGCGCCGCCCAGCGCAGCGGGATCCACAGCCGGTCGGGGGTGATGTAATAATCCTCCTGCACGGGGGGGAGAGGGGTCAGCACCGGGCAGGAGCCCCCCCGAGTCCCCTGAGCCAGCCAGTCCCTGCCCTGGGGCCGGGTGGGAGCCGGCGCCCCCTAGAGGGGAAAGGCCCCATGACCCATTTCCCACCCCCCTGAGCCAGCCAGTCCCTGCCCAGGGGCCGGGTGGGAGCCGGCGCCCCCTAGAGGGGAAAGGCCCCATGACCCATTTCCCACCCCCCTGAGCCAGCCAGTCCCTGCCCTGGGGCCGGGTGGGAGCCGGCGCCCCCTAGAGGGGAAAGGCCCCATGACCCATTTCCCAGCCCCCTGAGCCAGCCAGTCCCCGCCCCACCCCAGGGCTCGCACCTTGTAGTTGTTGTGCGAGAGGCCATAGTCGCCGACCCGGACGGTGAGGTCGGAGGTCAGCAGGCAGTTCCGCAGGGCCAGGTCGCTGTGGGGGAACGTGGGGAGACCCCAGTCAGCAGCCGGCAGCTTCCCCTGGGGACACCCCACCTGTGTCACACCTGCCCTGGGGAGAGCGCTACCTCCCAGACACCCCCACTCTAAACCCTCCATCCCCCTCCCCTCCCGGAGGTGGGATAGAACCCAGGAGTCCTGGCCCCCAGCCCTCCCTGCTCTAACCACTAAACCCCCCTCCCCTCCCGGAGGTGGGATAGAACCCAGGAGTCCTGGCCCCCAGCCCTCCCTGCTCTAACCAGTAGACCCCCCCTCCCCTCCCGGAGGTGGGATAGAACCCAGGAGTCCTGGCCCCCAGCCCTCCCTGCTCTAACCACTAAACCCCCCCTCCCCTCCCGGAGGTGGGATAGAACCCAGGAGTCCTGGCCCCCAGCCCTCCCTGCTCTAACCACTAACCCCCCCTCCCCTCTCGGAGGTGGGATAGAACCCAGGAGTCCTGGCCCCCAGTCCTCCCTCCTGGCACTAACCCCCTGAATCCCCTCCCCTCCCGCAGCCGGGAGAGAACCCCGGCGTCCGGGTGCTCACCTGTGGATGTAATTGTTCTTGTGCAGGTGCAGCAGCCCCAAGGTGAGCTCATAGGCCATGCGCTGCAGGGTGCCGAGGTCGCGGGTCAGCAGGTCGGGGGTCAGCCCCTCGGCCTGGCGCTGGGCTCGCAGGTAGCGCTTCAAGTCGCCCTGGGGCAACGGGGGGAGGGATGGGGGGAGGTCAGGCAGGCCGGGGCACAGATGGGGGCACCGGGGACCCCGCGGGGGCCACCGTGCCCCTCCAGCAACCGGGAGCAACCTCGGAGCCCACAGCAGCTGGTAGAGTGGGGATTCCCCACCCAGCTTCCGGCAGCATGGGGCTATGACACACAGGTCGGCAGTGCGCACTGCCCCCAGGAGAGGGCGCACTCCCCTTCTCGGACAGACACACACACGCACAGCGGGGAGTTCTGCTCCCAGCCACCAGAGAGCAGTGGGACGACACACACACAAAGAGAGCCATTCTGAGCCCAGCCATCAGGACACACACACACACAAAGCCATCAGGACACACACACCCCCCACACACCCCCACAGGGCTGAGCCCAGCCACGAGGGGACAGCACTGCGCCCCCCCCATCCCCATGCAGCCCCCGCCCGCGCTCACCAGCTGGCAGAACTCCATGATGAGCAGGAAGGGGATGGTCTCCGTGCACAGCCCCAGACACTGCAGGATGTTCGGGTGCTGAAGGCTTCTTCAAAGCCGGGGGGACAGAGAGAGAGAGCGAGAGCACTGTCATTCCCCATGGCAACAGCGGCACCCGGATGCCTGGGTTCTATCCTGGCTCTGGGAGGGGAGGGGAGTCTGGTGGTTAGAGTGGGGAGGGGGCTGGGAGCCAGGACTCCTGGGTTCTCTCGGCAGCTCTGACAATGATTTAGTCTGGGCAAGCCCCTCCCCCACGTGCCTCGATTTCCCCCTCCGCAAAGTGTGTGTGTGGGGGGGAGGCTCCTGCCCTTTCCACAGGGGGCAGAAAGTTTCCCAAAGGGCTGGAAAATGCTGTGGGATCCTCAGTGGAGAGGGGTGGGGGACGATCCCAGTGACTAGCTCCTCCAAACCCTTCCCAGATCCTCCCATACTGACGGGCTGGGGAAGGAGGCGTGGGGGTGTGTGTGTGTGTGTGGTGATTTTTAGCGGTGGGACTTTTATCTCAACGCTGTGGCTTTAAACACAGGTGTGGCAAGCCCTGCCCCCAATCTCAGTAAGTCTGGGTTGAAACAGGACCACCATGGGCTGCTTTCACACCACTGCATGATACAGGTTTCCTCTTATCTTTGTGCTCTAAGGATGCTGAGATGTGACTGCTTCTGGGGTGGGGCGCGAGGCCTGGGTATACGGGGACCCCTCGCCCGGCACTGAGATGCAGCCACCTCTGGGGTGCGGCACAGGGACTGAGTATACGGGGACCCCTCGCCCAGCGCTGAGATGCAGCCACTTCTGGGGATCCCCCATCCCCTAATTACCGATAGGGCTGAGCCTCCGACAGGAACTTCCTCTGCTCCAGGGGTCCGGCGCTGACCCGGAGCTCCTTCACCACCACCTGGGCTGGGGTGAAGTCAGAGAAGATCTCCCCCAGGATCACCTAGGAGACAGATCTGACAGTCATACCACAGGGTCTGCACCCCAGTGGGGCCCAATCCCCCCCCCATGCCTCCGCCTGTGGTGGGGGGCCCCCACTAGGGGGGAAGATTAGCGTGCAGTCTCTGAGGCCCGTCCAGCCCTCGGCCTCTCTGGTGTGGGGGCTGCTGAGACCCCGCAAACTTGTTTCACACAGGGGCAACAAAATGGCGTGTCAGATGGGAACAGCTCCCCGTCACTAGAGCGGAAAGGCCCAGAGCCCCATTCCCACTCCCACCCCAAGCCAGCCAGTCCCCGCCCTGGGGCGGGGTGGGAGTTGGCGTCCTCTAGAGGGGAAAGGCCCCATGCCCCATTCCCTGCCCCCTTGAGCCAGCTAGTCCCCGCCCTGGGGACAGGTGGGAACCGGCTCTCCCTGGATGTGACACCTGTGGAGGCCGGGGGGGCGGGGAGCAGGTAGCAAAGTGGCAGGGGAGGCGCACTCACCTTCCCAAACCAGCCGTTCCCGATCTCCTGCAGGTAGCTGAGGTGCTGCCGGCTCAAGCCCAGATGCTTCACTAGGTCTGGAAGGGGACACAGGAGGGTGAGGAGGGGCTGAACCCTGCCAGCACCTCCACTGGGGAGAAGGGAGCTCCCGTGATGGCCCTCTACCCACCTTCATCCGATCCCTCCTCCTAGCAGGAAAGAGGTTAGGACCAGGGGGTCGCAATCCTCCTTCAGAGGCCCCCAGGAGGCTGGGTCATCGGCTCCTCCGCAACACGGCTTCCAGAATCACTGGCTAATCTAGAACCATGTTCCCAGAGTCACTGCATCCCCATTGGGTCATCTAGAACATGGCTTCGAATGGAGCGGACACCTCGATTGCTAGTCTAGAATGTGCTTTCCAGAGTTGCTTCATCTGCACCCACTCATCTAGAACCTCACTGGTCTAGAATCGGGTTGCGAGAGTCATTGCGCCTGAGAACTTTTTTTCGAATATACCCCTAGTGTCATAGACTAATCTAGAACATGGTGTCCAGAGCTGCTTTGTCCACACTAGTTAGTCTAGAACATTACTTGTCTATAAAGAGATTTCCAGAGCTAGATCATTGTTAGTCTAGACCCTCTTTCCCAGTGTCATTACTTCCACATTTGGTTAGTCTAGAGTCTGCTTTACAGTGTCACTGCTGCCTCATTGGTTGGTCTAGAACCTGCTTTCTTGATTTGCTGCATTTCCATTGGCTACTCTAGATCCCAGCCTCCAGTCACTGAATCTTCACTGTTTAATGTAGAATGTGGTTACCAGAATCTCTGCGTCCTCATTGGGTAGTCTAGAACATGGTCTGTGGTCTTTTGCCCTATCTGCTGATCCAGAATGTGGCATCTAATGCCATTGTGTCCCGGATGCTAGTTCAAGGCTGCAGCCATTTCAGCCCCTTTGTCAGGTCTAGTTTTGACCTAATAAATAATTAGTGGCTGATCTAGATCCTGGTGGGTCTACACATAGTGTCTCAACACTCACTGGGTAGCTTAGAACCTTATTTCCAGAGCCATTTCATCCCCATTGGCTAGCCTGGAAACAGAGTCAGTCCATCTCCACTGACCAGAATAACCTCTTCCACGTTGATTAGCCTAGAACCAGAGCTTTCTCATCCTCGTCAACTACCTAAAATAAGAGTCACCACATCCCAGTTGACTAGTGTAGAACCAATGCCTCCCCATGGACTAGCTTAGAACCAGTACCACCAATCCCACTGACAAGCCTAGAACCAGAGTCTCCCTACCTCCATAGACTAGTCTAGAACCAGAACTCCCCCTTGCCCATTGACTAACCAAGAACCAGAGGCACCCAGTCTCCATTGACTAGCCTAGAACCAAGCTAACATAGCCCATTCCCACTGGACAACCAAGAACCTGGTTTTCCAATCCACCCCATCCCCACAGTCCAGGCATGTATCACACCCAGTTGGGAGACAAGCATGTCCTCTACCTGTCTTGGGCATCTGCTGGCTGGGAGCCGGGAGCGAGACCTCAGAGAGCGGCAGGATGTAGACGTCTGGGATGGACTGGGACGATGAGGTCTCCTCGGCGGGTGGCGTGTACTCCCCTGAATACTCCTCCCCATCCGGGTTCTCGAACTCCTGCAGGGTGCAAGCAGACAGGGACGCATGAGGACCTGGGGTGTCGTGTCTCTCTCCACTTGCCCCCTCCTTTCTAGGGCCTATGTCTCTCTAGGCACAGGGCCTGGGAACCACAAATCCCAGGGGTGGAAGGCAGGTGGTCCCGGGCTCAGAACAGGGGTGTTCCAGGTGTGTGGTTTTCCCTTAAAAGGCCAGCATGCCCTGTGACACCCAGCTGTGCTCCTCCCCAGCCCCAGCCACCTCTCACCTTGAAGCCAACATCGCCCCGTTTGCAGCACAGACAGGTGAGCAGGAGAAAGATGAAGGCCAGGAGACCCGAACAGGAGATCAAGACCACGGCATATGGGGGTGCAAGAGGGAACCGGCCTTGGGACAGACCATCTAGGGGAGAGAGAAATGAGAGTAAGAACTCGCCCGGCGCTGAGATGCAGCCCCTCTGGGGCGGGGCATGGGAGCTGGTTATACAGGGATCCCTTGCATGGCACTGAGATGCGGCCACCTCTGGGGCAGGGCGGGGGACTGGTTAGACCACTGTGCTCAGCTATTGATATAACAGCTCATTTCTGCATAGCTCCCACACGGTCGTTAATTCAGGCCCCCTCCCCGCTCTTGAAGACCACTGCCCAGACTCCTCTTCCCCCCGTCACAACATGCCCCAGTGGTCCGGACCCTCCCCCATTCCTGGGACTGTCGTGATTGAGCTCTGTGGGGAAAACCCCATTGGAACCGCTACCAGTTCCGGGCGTTACAGGGCAAATAACGCCCAGTCCCCGTTGAAATGGTAATTCGTGGCAAATGATGATTTAACTGGGAATTGGTCCTGCTTCGAGCAGGGGGTTGGACTAGATGACCTTCTGGGGTCCCTTCCAACCCTTATATTCTATGATTCTATGATTCTATGATTTAGGGAGGGGGCGAGGGATGGATGAATGGATGTGGAGCGCGGACAGGCAGACAGACTTCTCCGAATTCACCCATCAGGAACTGGGCCAAGACCCCTCCCCAAATCACTGACTAGGAATTGGGCCTTGATCCCCAACTGCCCCACTAGTAACCGGGCCAAGACACTACCTGCAACTCACCCACCGGGCACCAGGCCGACAGCTCTTGTACCCCAAATTACCCCTCCCGAAACCTGACCCAAAACCACCCCCAAACACCTGCTCTGGGGACTGGACCCAGACACGCCCCCTCAACCAACTTGCTGGGAACCAGGCCCAGGTCCCACACACTCCCGTCATACCAGGGTGCCACAGGCCCAGCCGCCCAAAATGTGGACCTCTCCCCTCCCCGCAAAATCCATAACGCACCCCCCCCCACCAGCACCCCAACTCCCAACACCCCATCCCCACCCTCCTGCCGCCACACAAACACATGTCACTAGCCCGGGGCTGACTAAGCCGCTCTGTGGAGGGACAGGCCTGGCCACCTAAGAAGAGAAACTTACAACCCAGCCACGGGGGAGGGAAACCCCCATCCCGACCCAGCCCCCCAAATGACACACAAAGAGATGGGGTCGTGTCGGCGGAGGGGACGGGCGCGCAAACAGGTGCTGCTCGATGGAGGGGTGGAAAGCAGATGGAACAGAAGTAAGGAAGGAGAAATGGGACATGGCAGGGAGGGAGCGAAGGAAGGGAGGGAGAAGGAATGGGACTGCGGAGGGAGGGAGCAAAGGAAGGAATGGAGGAGGAAGGGGACAGCAGAGGGAGTGAGCGAAGGAAGGGAGGAAGGAGGAAGGGGATGGCGGAGGGAGGGAGCGAAGGAAGGGAGGGAGAAGGAATGGGACTGCGGAGGGATGAAGGAGGAATGGGACGGCGGAGGGAGGGAGCGAAGGAAGGGGACGGCGGAGGGAGGAAACGAAGGAAGGGATGGAGGAGGGAGGGGATGGTGGAGGGAGGGAGCGAAGGAAGGGATGGAGGAGGGAGGGGACGGCGGATGGAGGGAGCAAAGGAAGGGATGGAGGAGGAAGGGGACAGCAGAGGGAGGGAGCGAAGGAAGGGATGAAGGAGGAAGGGGACAGCGGAGGGAGGGAGCGAAGGAAGGGATGAAGGAGGAAGGGGATGGCAGAGGGATGAAGGAGGAAGGGGACAGAGGATAGAGGGAGTGAAGGAAGGGATGGAGGAGGAAGGGGACGGCGGATGGAGGGAGCAAAGGAAGGGATGGAGGAGGAAGGGGATGGCAGAGGTAGGGAGCAAAGGAAGAGATGGAGGAGGAAGGGGACGGCGGAGGGAGGGAGCGAAGGAAGGGATGGAGGAGGACGAGGATGGCGGAGGGATGAAGGAGAAAGGGGATGGCAGATGGAGGGAGCGAAGGAAGGGATGGAGGAGGAAGGTGACGGCGGAGGGAGGGAGCGAAGGAAGGGATGGAGGAGGAATGGGACGGCGGAGGTATGAAGGAAGAAAGGGACTGTGGATGGAGGGAGCGAAGGAAGGGATGAAGGAGGAAGGGGACGGCGGAGGGAGGTAGTGAAGGGAGGGATGAAGGAGGAAGAGGACGGCGGATGGAGGGAGCGAAAGAAGGGATGGAGGAGGAAGGGATGGCAGAGTCAGGGAGCGAAGGAAGGGATGGAGGAGGAAGGGGACAGCAGAGGTAGGGAGCGAAGGAAGGGATGGAGGAGGAAGGGGATGGTGGAGGGCGGGAGTGAAGGAAGGCATGAAGGAGGAAGGGGACGGTGGATGGAGGGAGCAAAGGAAGGGATGGAGGAGGAAGGGGACGTCAGAGGGAGGGAGCGAAGGGAGAGATGGAGGAGGAATGGAATGGTGGAGGGATGAAGGAGGAAAGGGATGGCGAAGGGAGGGAGAGAAGGAAGGAATGAAGGAGAAAAGGGATGGCAGAGGGAGGTAGCAAAGGGAGGGATGAAGGAGGAAGGGGACGGCAGAGGGATGAAGGAAGAAGGGGACATCGGAAGGAGCGAGTGAAGGAAGGGATGGAGGAGGAAGGGGACGGCAGAGGTAGGGAGCGAAGGAAGGGCTGGAGGAGGAAGGGGATGGTGGAGGGAGGGAGCGAAGGGAGGGATGAAGGAGAAAAGGGATGGCAGAGGGAAGTAGAGAAGGGAGGGATGAAGGAAGTATGGAGAGCAGGTTAGAGTGAACAAGGAAGGGATTGAGGAGGAATGGTAAGCAGGTTACAGCGACGGAAGGGATGAAGGAGAAAGGGGATGTCAGAGGGAGGGAGCAAAGGAAGGGATGGAGGAGGAAGGGGACGTTGGAGGGAGGGAGCGAAGGAAGGGATGAAGGAGGAAAGGGATGGCGGAGGGAGGTAGCGAAGGAAGAGATGAAGGAGGAAGGGAACAGCGGAGGGAGGAAGGAGGAATGGGGCAGCGGACAGAGGGAGTGAAGGAAGGGATGAAGGAGAAATGGGACAGCGGAGGGAGGAAGGAGGAATGGGGTGGCGGATGGAACAAGCGAAGGAAGGGATGAAGGAGGAAGGGGACGGCGGAGGGAGGGAGCGAAGGAAGGCATGAAGGAGGAAAGGGATGGCAGAGGGAGGGAGCGAAGGAAGGGATGAATGAGGAAGGGGATGGCAGAGGGATGAAGGAGGAATGGGACAGCGGATGAGGGAGCGAAGGAAGGGATGAAGGAGGAATGGGATGGCAGAGGGATGAAGGAGGAAGGGGATGTCGGACGGAGGGAGTGAAGGAAGGGATGAAGGAGGAATGGGACAGCGGAGGGATGAAGGAGGAAGGGGATGTCAGAGGGAGGGAGTGAAGGGAGAGATGGAGGAGGAATGGGACAGCGGAGGGAGGAAGGAGGCATGGGACGGCGGATGGAATGAGTGAAGTAAGGGGACAGCAGAGGTAGGAGGAGGAAGGGGATGGCGGAGGGATGAAGGAGGAATGCGACGGTGGACGGAGGGAGCGAAGGAACGGGATGGCGGAGGGAGGGAGCGAAGGAAGGCATGAAGGAGGAAGGAGATGGCAGAGGGATGAAGGAGGAATGGGACAGCGGATGGAGGGAGCGAAGGAAGGGGATGGCGGAGGGAGGGAGTGAAGGGAGGGATGGCAGAAGAAAGGAAAGCAGGTTAGAGCGAACAAGGAAGGGATGGAGGAGGGATGGTAAGCAGGTTACAGCGACAGAAGGGATGAAGGAAGCAGAGGAGGGATGAAGAGGTGGAAGGACCGGAGGGGGGGGATCCGCCAGGGGATCTGTCCCCTCCGCATGCCCAGACACCGGGGAGGCCGTCCAGGCCCGGGGCTCACCGTTCTCCAGCGGCGCTGCCAAGGCTCTGTCCGGGTTGAAATACGACATAGAGGCGGCCAGCAGGACGACAGGCCCCTGTCTTAGCATTGTCGGGGCTCAGCGGGCATCGATCGGCGGGGGCCACCGGCGGGGAGATGGCCTAGGTCTGGGAAGGGAGCGGGGGGGACCCGGGGTAGGGAAGCCAGGCGCGGGCCCCGCCGCCTGAAACGGGGGAGGTGCGTGGGACAGGGGGGGCGCGCCCGGTGGCTTTCACACATCCGACGGGATGAGGGGGACCCGGGCCAGAGGGCACCCCGGCTTCGCATCTCCGGGAAGATGGGCCGGCCTGGCCTGGGCTGCTACCGGGTTTTCATCCCGAAGCATCTTCCTTCCTTCCTCCGCCTCAGGGCCCCCAGGGGAAGGAGGGAAGGGGCCAATCCGCCCAGCGGAGGGCTGGCGGGGGCCAAGCGATAGGAAGGATCAGGCACGGGCTATGCCCATGCCAACAATAGAGTGGGGAGAGAAGAATTGGGGAGGGTGGGATGCAGGGCAGAAAGGAAGACTGGGGCGGGGGGGGAGATCCCGGCCGACGTCTGGGTTTCCCCCCCTTTTCCAGGGATGGGGGGGGCGGGGAAGTGGATGAGGAGGGGAAGGGGAGAAGAAAAGGAGGATCAAATCCAATGGGAGGCTGGCTGATTTCGGCATCCGCCTGGCTGGGGAGCGGGGCTGCTGGAATTGATGGAGACAAGACCCACCCCCTTCGGACAGACCCCCCCCCCAGTCACCGCCGGGCTCTCTGATTGGGCCTAGGAGCTGTCCGTCAGGGCCAGAAGCCCAAAGAAAGGAGAGAGGAAGGGAGAGGGGGAGGGCGGAGAGATGCAGGAGAGGGAGGGGGGGAGCGTCTCCATGGTTACCTTCTCCCTGGTACCAGCCTCAGCAGCACTGGGGCACTGTGGGAGAGGGATGGGGAGGGAAGGTGTGTGTGTGTTGGGGGGGGTATTTTGGGGAGAGGGTGGAGTTTGGGGGTGCAGGGTGTTGGGGGGAGCCGCCGGGGGATTCCCCAAGCCAGAGTGTGGGGAGAGAGCTGGGTGGAGGTGTCATGTGCAAACACACGCAGTGTCACATACACAATGGGCCACACACACACACACACACACACACACACGAACATACACGGCTCGCACACACCCTGACAGTGTCAGATACACAAATGGCTCACACACATCCTGACTGTCACACACACACAGCTCGCACGCACCCTGTCACACACACATGGCTCACACACACTCTGACAGTGTCACATACACATGGCTTGCACACACACTGACTGTCACACATATGTGGCTCACACACACAGTGTCACACACACCCAGCTTGCATGCACACACTGACTGTCACACAGACACACCCAGCTCATACACACACTGACAGAGTCACACACACACACACACACACACACAGCTTGTACACATCCCAACAGTGTCACACACACAGTTCATACATACCCTGACAGTGTCACACACACATGCCTCATACACTCACTAAGCGCTACACACACTTGGCTCATACACACCCAGAGTGCCACACACGTGGCTCATACACACACTGCACCCTCACACGCAGACATGTCCATGTGATGTCTCATACACACACAGAGTGTCACACAAACATCCTGGCTCCTGCATACTCACAAGGCCCCCCACATACACAGCGTCACACACACACACAGTTTCACATACCCACACAGTCTCTCTCTCCCTTTCACAGAGAATCACACACACACGTGAAGTTTCACGTACCCAGACATAGTCTCTCTCTCTCTCTTTCACACACACACCAAGTCTAAAACACAAACACACACACAGTGTATCACACTAGCTAAGCAAGGGGCCTCCAAATGCCCCTGAAAACAGGGCACCCTCCTTGAGTGGGTGTGGGGGGGCACCAGGCTCGGTTCTTGGACATGTTTATTATCAATGATCCGGGAGCAAACAGAGCACCCCGTGCCGATAACGCCAACGACCCGCTGATGAGGGCTGCGGTAAATGCCGCCGAGGACAGGCCACCGAGACAGAGCGACCAGGATCGCTGGGGGCACACAAAAAACATGCACTGGGCTTCGGTGAAATGCAGAGTCCTCTGCCCAGGAGCAAGGAACCAAGGCCCGTGCTATTGGACTGGGCGGGGACTCGGTGCCAGGACGCGGCATCTGGAAAAGATCTGGAGGTCTTGTTGGAGAATCAGCTGACCACACGGGCACTACGGCCCAAAGGGGTAAGGCCAGCTGGGGGTGCACAAACAGGGGGATCTCGAAGAGTTTATTTCACCTCTGGGTTTGGCCTTGGTGCGACCGCGGCTGGACTCCAAGAAGGACGGTGCTCAGTCGATAGGGCCCTATCAAATTCACAACCATGGAAAACGTGGCACGGACCGTGAAATCTGGTCTCCCCCGTGAAATCTCATATTACCTTATGCTGTACCGATTTCACGGGGGAGACCAGCGTTTCTCCAGCTGGGGGGCCTGAGACAAAAGGGGGTCATGGGGAGGGGTCACAAGGTATTGTAGGGGGGTGACGTTATCGCCACCCTTACTTCTGTGCTGCCTTCAGAGCTGGGTGGCTGGACAGCAGCAGCTGCTGGCTGAGGGCCCAGCTCTGAAGGCAGGGCTGCTGTCAGCAGCAGCGCAGAAGTAAGGGTAGCCAGTACCGCGGCCCCCCTACAATCACCTTGTGACCCCCCTTTTGGGTCAGGACCCCTACAATTACACCAGCATGACAGTTCAGAGTTGAATACCTGAACTCACGACATTTACAATTTTTAAAATCCTATGACCCATGAAATTGACCAACATGGACCATGAATTTGGTAGGGCCCCATCAATCGGCGAGAGGGCCAGAGAAGAGTTCTCTCATGTGGGGAACAAATATTTAATCACGGGCTCCTCAGCCTGGCAAGGGATGGTTGGAGCCTGATCCCACGGCTGGAGGTTGGAGCTAGATGCATTCAGATGGCAAATCGGGGCCGGGTTTTGAAGAGGGAGGGGAAGTTACCAAGGGGCCTGGTGGATTCTCCTGCCCTGGCAATTACTCAGCCCAGGTGGCTGGTTTTGGGGATCTGCTCTCGTCAACCGGGAATGAATTCAGGGCAGCGCCCTGGGTGGGGTCAAACAGGAGGTCAAATGAGCTGATCGCAAGGGTCCCTGCTGGCCATGAATCTATGAACCTAGGAATCATGGCATCAGACACACACACAGCCACCCACACACACCCCCAACACAGCCAGGCAGGGGCGGAGGGCGCAGTCCCAGGCCAGTAGTCATCCTGGTTGGGGGCGCAAGATGTGTTGGGTGCAGTTGAAAACCACCCCCACGTGCACACACACACACACACAGGGAACCAGCACCGAATGTGAGCAAACATCTCTCATGCATCCAGCACCCCTATGCTGGGATCCCCCCTCATCCCACAGCCCCCCCACCCGCAGGGATCCCCCCTTCCCTCCCCTCCCAGCCCCCTCCCCTGCTGGGTTCCCCCTCCACCCCACAGCCCCTCCACTGGGATCCCACTCCCCTCCACACCACAGCCCCCCTCTGCTGGGATCCCACTTTGCACCCCTGGCCTCTATCACAGCCCCCCACCCCGCGATGCTGAGTGGGTAGCATAGAACCCACAGCCCCACTGCTCAGCCCCGCCAGGGGATCGCTGAGCTGAGAGACCCCGGGGAGCTGAGTCAGTTTCTAGATGGGGCACAGGCGGGGGGTGGGGGGGAGCTGAGAGGAATGTGATGTCATCATTGTCACAGACAGGCAGACTCGCGTGCGCACACAGTCTAGACACACACATCCCCAACCACAGAGACAGACACCCCCCAACCACACAGACACACACAACCCCAACCACACACACACAACCCCAGCCACACAGACACAAATACACAGAACCCCAACCACATAGACACCCTCCCCCAACCACACAGACACACACACCCCTAACCACACACACACACAATCCCAGCCACACAGACACAAATACACAGAACCCCAACCAGATAGACACCCTTCCCCAACCACACAGACACACACCCCCCTAACCACACACACACACAATCCCAGCCACACAGACACAAATACACAGAACCCCAACCACATAGACACCCCCCAACCACACACACACACAGACATCCCCACCACACAGACACACCCACCCACAACCACACAGATACACAACCCCAACCATGCAGACACTCCAAACCCCACAGACACACAACCCCAACCATACACACACACACACACAACCCCAAACACAGACAAGCCCAAACACACAGATATAACCCCAAACACGCAGAAATATAGAAACAACCCCAAACACAGAGATCCAACCCCAAACACACAGACACTTTCATACGCACAGACAATCCCAAATATACATGCCAAACACAAACACACAGACACTCACACAACCCCACATACTCATGCACACATGCACAGACAACCCCAAACACACACACATGTGTATGCATGCACCTACAACCCCAAATACACACCCAGAGACACACACAAACACACACAGATGCACCCACACAGATGCACCCACACAGACCCGAGTGTGCACAGCCACAGAGATGCCCCCACACACAGCCACAAACATTCCCACACACATAGGAGACACACAAACCCCGCCCCCCTCACCCCAAGTGAGCATGAAGAAAACAGCCGCCACAAACACCCGTCCCCCCTCACACACAGCCACTCCCCCACACTGACTGCACACAGACAAATACCACCTGCTACTGCCTGTCTGCATCTCACTCGTCTCTGGGCAGGGCGGGGGGGGGTCTAGTGGTTAGAGCAGGGGGACTGGGGGTCCAGACTCCTGGGTTCTATACCTGGCTCTGGAGGGGAGTGGTGTCTTGTGGTTAGAGCAAGGGGGCTGGGGATTCAGCACTGTCGGCTTCTCACACAAATACCAGGTTAGGAGAAAAACACCCAGTAAATCAGCAGCTTAATTCTCTGCCATTTGCGGTGGCTGGGCACTTTACAGCTTCCCCAATGAAAAGGGAGATTTACAGGCTCCCGGCTCAGCCTGGGCCACCAGCCACGGGCTGTGTCTGGGATGGGGGAGCGGGCCAAGGGGAACCGGCCAGACCTCAAAGGGCTACAGACACATGGCCCTTCAGACTAGTCACCCCTGACTGCAGCGGGGGCAGGGCTGGGTTCTGATCTCAGCTAGACCAGTATAAAATCCACGCAATCAGACCCAGGCCTGGGACGGGAGGATTCGTTAACATTATTCTCTCCACTCCAGTTCCACTGTCCATTTCCATTGAGATGGTCCCTCTACCCCCTCCTTTCTGCTGCCTTTTTCCTCCTGCTTTTTTTCCCTCCAAAACTTCCCCTAAGACAGACCCAAACCCTGCGAAAGGTTTGGCGTGAGATGGGGGGGATCCGGTGCTTGCAACCCCTCTCTTCCTTTTATCATACACTCAACGGCTTCCAACGTTTTCTTTGGAAGTTGATCTCAATCCCACCCCATGGGTGGCCATGCCAGGGTCCCCACCACACGCAGGGCACCTCCCATGTGATGCCAGACGCTCTGGCCTCCCACCGGCTGTGGCTCATACTGGGTGGAGCAAGTCTACGATCTACAGGCCACGGTCGGTTGGCAACTAAAATAAACCAGCCCGGACGCATCACACCCCCAGTATCAGACTGCCCCAGGTGCGCCGAGCACCAATTAATTCAA